AAATAGGGCAAAATTTTCGCATGAATACCAAATAAAAAATTTTTTTTGAAAAAAAAAAGAAATATTTTGTCGTTTACTCTAATTTCAAAGAATCATGATATTCACTAATACTTCAAAAGAGAAAAACTGAACCTCAAAAATAAAAATCTAAATCAATTTTTTTTTACAATCACTTTTTCAAAATTCATAGTTGTGCGTGAAATACTAATTTCATACACTGAAAGTATTTCACGCACTGACAGAAGCATGAGAACTAAATTTTGTGAAATCATTATGTTTTTTATTTTTTAAAGCCCGGCCTATTCTCAAAAAGACAGTCGTTTCGCACACTATTAGTAGGATGGAATTCGTATGAAAATTTAAAACCATATCTAATGAAAAAAAATAGTGTCATTTTTGGCATTATTATATTTTTAAAGATTTCATATAATTAAAAAACACCGTGCAATTATGAAGTCATTATAAATCATTTTAATCTAAAGCACAAAAATTTTCTTTTATCAACACCGAAGATTTCAACAATCATAATTAATAAATTGTATTTAAAGTAGTAAATTTGAAAAGGTAAGTCATTTGTTATCTAACAATTTAAAACATCCGATCGTTTCATTATCAATTTAAGAAAGAACTAAATAATAGTTATCATTATCAAACCCGGATTTATTCTTACGTCAATGAAAAAATATCAGTCCCGATACATAAAAAACTTTCAATTGTGATGTAATTTGTCTTAAATTCTTCGGCAAGTGTTTTAAACACTGATAAAATTAATTAGGCATAAACAATTTTACAGTAAGTTGCAAATAAATTCTTCGTCCGAATTTCAAAACAAAATATCGCATGATCTATCGCGAAGTCCAAAAAACATCATCTTATTATTCCCCACTATTGTGCCTTATAAAAACCCTCAGATTTAGGACATTAGCATCTTGTTCTCATCCTGATCCACTCTGTGTTTCTTTCAAGTTTAGTGAACTTTCATTAATTTTACGAAAATGACCGGAATTGAATTCAAGACCAGCCCTTCCAGAACTGGAGTAATCATCAAGGGAGTCAACGACCAATATGCGGATGGTAAAATGGCCAAAGTGTACAAGGCTTTCATCGGAGATGAAAATGCAAGAACCGAAAATTACAAAAGATTTTTGATCGATTTATTGAGGAAAAAAGGATGCAAACGTATTCTGGATGTCGCTTGTGGAACTGGGTATGTGGAAAAAAATTCCCAAAGATTTAACACAATTTTTGTCTTACTAGAATTGACTCAATCATGCTTTTGGAGGAAGGATTTGATGTTGTTTCAACTGATGGTTCTGATAAGATGTTGAAATATGCTTACGAACAAAGGTGGGAGAGAAGAAGGGAGCCAGCTTTCGAAAATTGGAGTAATTGAAAACAATTTTAATAGATTCTTTTCATTACTTTAATTTTTTTTTAGTTATTAGGGAAGCCAATTGGTTGGAAGTTTATGACACGGTTGAGGATCTTGTTGGAGATGGTTTCGATGCTGTAATCTGCTTTGGTAGTTCATTTGCCCATCTTCTGGATTCTTACGGCGACCAACGCGAGCAAAAGTATTTAATTCATTTTTGATTTAATTCAACTTTGATATTGTTTCATTTCAGACAAGCCATAAGAAACTTTGAGAAATGTCTAAAACGTGGCGGATTGCTCCTTATTGACCACAGAAATTACGAAAAACTTATCAAAGGCCAAGCCCCAAAGAAATGTGTCTTTTATGACGTAAGCAAATTTTCCTACCATTAAATTTTCAGAAAAATTGTTTTTTAGGCCAACTACATTACAAATATTACAACTTCCGTTCTTTCGGTGATGGGAAAACCGGCGTTAATTATTAGGGATTACATCGTTCTGAGTGACGAAACAAGCGATAAAACCAATGGTGTTAAAAAGTATAAATCTGAAACTCCTTCCACGACGTGAGTAACTGTTAAGTTCTGGTAATTATTTAATGTTTTGGTTTATTTTTCAGAGAATTGAGATTGATGTTTCATCCTCACATGGTGAATGACTTTATAAACATGTTGAAAGAAATTTTTGGTGAAAAATCATCATTTCACACATTGGGTGATTTTAAAAATTTGGGAGAAATTGAAGATCCGACTTTCTACATCCACATTGTGGAAAAACAATAAAAAGCTGGATATTGAATTGTGAATAAAAATATATAACTTGTTAATATGTTTTATTATTTACTTGTCATTATTATCTACAGATACTAATTTACAATCGATAATAATTAACTTAAACACATTAGTTTATACTAAACTATCAATTTATTAAAATGAATGAAGTTTTATCATTTTTAGGACGTTTTTATTAAACTAAATGAACTGCGAAAATATTTATATCAAAAATATTTTATCCAAATCAAGCATTATAACATTAATATGAATAGTTATTACAGAAGAAAAAAATGTAGGTATAAAGGTTATTCTACTAAACATACGAGAAAGTAAATTTTATCTGGTATTGAATTAATAAAATAGTGACATTATAAACAAAGTGAAATATAAAAAATAATTATGTACAACTAGAATATTACAAAAACTGCATGACAGAACAAATGAACGTTATTTCTTAATATAAACAAAAAAAATTCTGAATTTATTAAATTAAAAGTATTATTAAGAAATGATAAACTTCAAAATTAAAATTATTTTAGTAATTTTGTTACTGTTAATAAATTGCATAAAAAATATTAAAGATTAAGTACTGTTTGTTTTTATTAAAAAAACATATCTGTATTTTTGAAAAAAAAAATAAACATGCGGTTATACATATTAAACTGATTTAAAAACGTACATGCTCCAAAAACTATTTTAACTAAAAAAAATATTGTAATTATGTGTAATTGTATAAAAATTATTCATAATAGTTAAACTTTCCTGGCGCATCCACCAAAAGTGAAAGATTTATCTTGTTTAAAATGATAAAATTATCAATTTTACACCTTTTAGTACTTCTCTGCACATATTTTGTGTGTTAATAGTATGTTGTGTGTTAATAATATCAATAAATTGTGAGATAAAATGTTGTTTTTATATTCTGATTAAGTCAGAGTGGGAAATTCAGCTTAATAATATCAAAAAGCCAGTTCAGAAATTGCCATTTATTATCCAAAATAAAGCTAAAACTTTTGACAATTTTATTTTTCTCATACAGTGATACTGAATCTGGTAAACAAAATCAACAATTACTCATAATGTAATTATTATTTTTTTATAAATTACTTGCCATTTCAAAATTAGGATTACCAAATTATTGCAGCAATCCACTCTGTACACATTTACTTAAACATAAGTTATCTTTATGCAACTATGCAACGTTGTAACTAGAGAAACAATTTTAAATAATACAGCAGCTGAAACTACCATTTCAGTCTGATTGCTTGAAAACTCTTTCATATTAGCATTTGAGGTGGAAATTGATGCAAAATTATACAACAATCATGTTGAAAACCAAGAAAAAGCGAAACAATTATTTTGAAAGGTAGGTATGTCTTACACTTATTCTAGGAACAATTTGTTATCGAAATTGGGCCGTATCAAAAAGGCATACCAAGGCGTAAATTTTTGTTTTAAAATGTTTAAAAACCTTAATGAATATTGGATAGTAATTTTTAGAAGGGTGGAACACGGTTTATCAAGTGGTTAAAACACTAAGCAACATAAAAAAGTGTTGTTTGAAATAACGTTTCCAGAATGGCAACGAATAATTTACACCCAAGATATACCTGAAACAAGTAAGTGCATCACTTTTCAATTCCACTTTTATTCAAGTGATTTTGTTTCATTGGTTTCAGTAAAACCAAAGCTTATTAATCGTGTATCAACTGACAACTCAAACAGGTCTTAATAATAAAATTACATGTTTTCAGAGTGGAAATCGACATCTTTGTAGCACGAAATCCCTGCTCAAGGTAAGTGAATATTTCTTACGTTTAGTTTTAAAAATCAAAGTAATCGTAAATATTAATAATCAAACTATTTTAGTCGGAAAGTGTTATTATAGATAATTCTTTATACCTATTATACACATTATTTAGTACTTACTCGTAACAGTCTTTTAACGAACAGGTGTGCCACATTTCTGATTTCTAGTAACAATAAAACAAAACATTATTTTCGTTTTCCGGTCTTTTGTCATTCAATTTTGTTCACTATAAAAAGCCGATCAGATTTTTTTCAACAAACAATTTAAAAAAATAGCTGATGTTTGTTTTTGTATTACATAAACGTTGAAACAACATTTAAAAACTAATACAATAATTCATCGACATAAATTCATGTGAACTACAGTTGATAAAGGATTTCTTCAAAGATTAAATTAGCAATAAATGAGGCAATTTAATAATTCTTCTTACTACGAGTGTAATGCAAAAACATTACATGTTATGGGGATTCCGTGTGTCGTAAACAATTCTTAGATAATAAAAATAATGATTTTAAATAGTGCTTCTAATTATTTACAACCTCAAGGACAAAACGATTGAGAAGAAAAATATTTCTGAGATACTCTTATCAAAAATGTTCCTTTAATTCAAAGTATTCTAGACTGAAATCAATTAAAAATTCTCAAATTGCTCCTTCAGTTAAAAAAAAATAGAAAATCAGAGAAACCGTTCGAGATGAATTTAATTTAATACACGTAACAACAAATTAGTTTTAAGACTCAAAATCAAAATAATTTCTTATTAAAAACGATAAACTCTGACATTAAAATTTTGTTGATTTTCTTTATAACTTTGTTTAAGATGTTGAGTGGGGGATTCCTACTTATAATATAAAACAAGCTGTTGCAACAAATTATTCCAAAGTTTGAAGAAAATACGAAATGAAGTACAAAAATTTATCAAGTTTATTACTGCTTTTGTTGTGTGGCACAGCTTTTTCGAATGATAGTAGTTTAGTAGTGTCAAGTACCGAACGTGCTAACGAAATTACCGAAAAAACAGAAACTAAAAATGTAAGTGAATGATGACGAGGTAATTAAATATCTAAATTATGCGATATTAGGACACCGAAATCAGTCCAAAAATATATTCGATGCAAATTGACTCAAACATCACTAATCGCTTTGCAACAACACTCGTGACTAGTAAAGTAAGAAATTTGAAGAAAACAGCGGCGGAAACAACTTTCTCCGTTGTTTTGCCCGAAAATGCCTTCATCTCAGCATTTGAGATGGAAATTGATGGGAAAATATACAAAGCTCATGTTAAAGAGAAAGAGGAGGCTAAACAAATCTATCAAGAGGTAGGTCACTTATTTTCTCCTACTTTTATGTAATTACTGTTATCGTACAGGCGGTATCAAGAGGGCAAAGTGCGGCTCATGTTGAACTAAATGCAAGAGACTCAAAAACATTTACAGTTTCGGTGAATATAGAACCCGAAAGCAAGACAATATTTAGACTGACTTACGAGGAACTTCTTAAACGCCAACTTGGACAATATGAACTCGTTATTAATATACATCCTGGTCAAATTGTCCACGATCTTGGTGTCAAAGTAATCAGAAAAATATACTCTTCCGAGTTGTTGTTTAAATGAATTTTAGGTTCATATTAACGAAAGCAGGCCCTTAACATTCGTTAAAACACCATCTTTACGAACCGGAAATGAAGTTAGTAAAAATTCCGACAAGTTAGATCCTTCGGCCAAAATAGAAGTCATGAATTCAACTTCTGCTCTCGTTGAGTTTAATCCCGATAAAGATAAACAGAAAGAATTTGCTCAACTTCTGGGGAGTGAGAAAGAGAGTGGATTAGCTGGACAATTTGTTGTTCAATATGATGTTGAAAGAGATCCTCAAGGTGGAGAGGTTCTAATCCGTGATGGCTACTTCGTTCACTTTTTCTCCCCATCTGAATTGAGACCTTTACCAAAACACGTTGTATTTGTGCTGGACCATAGTGGTAGCATGAGTGGAAGAAAAATGGACCAGTTGATAGAAGCAATGCAGAATATTTTATCCGAGTTGAAAGAAACCGATTTGTTTAACATTGTTCGCTTTGGAGATGTAGCTCTGGTCTGGGATGTGTCTCAAAATATATTCGTTCAACTTCCAGATATTCGAGATTATGGAAACCTGGAACCGCATTTAAAAGTAACAGAGGAAATAAGTAAAAGCAAGTTAATGTTTGACAATTTTAGGAGATGAATTTGCCACAGGCTGTTAACGGCACAAAAGAAAATATTGAAGCGGCCAAAAATATCATCAAGGATACGTCTAATCTAGGAATGACTAACATGATCTACGGCTTAGAAGTCGGTTTATTCTTAATTAAAAGAACACAAGAAAAGGTGTCTGACAAGTATCAACCTATGATTGTATTTCTAACGGACGGTTATCCCAATGTAGGGATGAGTGATAGAAACCAAATTACAAATACTGTAAAAAAAAATTATTGTTGTTAAAAATTTGAAATATTTTAGTCCTCTGTAGGTAACAACTCTCAACAGTGGTAACAAAAAGGCGTCGATTTTCTCGCTTTCGTTTGGGGACTCTTCCGATAAAAGTTTCTTAAGAAAATTATCATCGAAAAATTTGGGCTTTTCGAGACACATTTACGAAGCTTCAGACGCTTCACTCCAATTACAAGATTTCTACCGCGCGATTTCTTCTCCTCTTTTAAGCAATGTCAATTTTAAATACGTTGATGGTGTCCAAGATGTAACAATAACTCACTATCCAATTCTTTTCAAAGGTTCGGAATTGGTTGTAGCAGGAAGAATAAGTAAGTAATTTATAATTTAACAATTCGATGATGGCGACAATAATAAATAATTATTGAAGATGATAGTCCCAATGTTTTAAATCATGTCGAAGCATGGTGTCCTATGGGTCCTATTAAATTTAATGCTACCATCAAAAGCGAAGCTGTTAGTTCTTTGGAACGACTCTGGGCGTATTTAACTGTAAAACAAATGTTGAAACAGAAAGAAACGGCTGAAAATACGACGAATTTGACTAAGAAAGCTCTTGATTTGTCATTGAAATACTCGTTTGTGACTCCTGTCACGTCTTTGGTTGTTGTTAAACCTAATCAGACTGAAGCTGTTGATAGTAAAGCTGCTAAGTCTAGACCAGGTACTCATTTCACATACATGTTAACAGAAATTTAATTATGATTGCAGAATGGGAAAGTGGAGCTCGTTCAACTTTTGCATGTAAGTTTCAGTATCAGTGACTTTAATGTTTCTATACTTATCTTCTCCTAAAACCATTAAAAAGCAGATTTAAAAATATTTGTACTTTCTTAATGTCTAACATTTAAAGTAATTTAATTTCAGCTTCCGGGATTTTCCGATCATATGCAAGAACGGGTAGCGCTCGTAAGTATAATTCTTTCAAATGAAACAGTTTTGTTTGTCTTAAACTATTTATTTCCTGAGAAAACAGGTTGATATCGTTTTTCAAAAATAAAATTTTCAGAAATTTGTAAAATTTATTTATTTTTGTCAATGGCAAACCACTATTATTTTTTTTTCGACAAATACAGTTAAATAAAATACAATTCTTGCGTATCTATCACTAGTATTTTTTCTAAGAGCAAGTAGTTAGTTCAGTACCTTTTGTTCACCCTATATACTGTATAAACAAATAAATTTAGTATCATTAATAAGTTTCAGGACGATCCTACATAATGCCAATGAGAGGATACTCGTCAGGAATGAGCTCTTTCGGTAAGTAGGTATTATAAAATTCAATATCAATCAAAAAGTACAATGAGAAAAACTCTTGTTTTCTATTTTACGTCTTTAACTACGCTAGTAACAAACTTGTTTAACTGCGTTAACAGCTTCTCACAGTGCGTTACTAACCCATAGAATATTTTATGTTTTTAATGTTGGTGACAATGATATTGACAGTAAATTGCAGTGTCACTAACTGACGCAAAATTTTCTAAATTTAAATTTAAAAACACCATAAAAAGCTCAAAATAGAAAAAATAGTATAGCAATCATTTGTTCCTCAACTCGCCGCTACGCGGCTCGTATCGGAACTTCAAACTCTTGCTTGAATGAATGCTGCAACTCGAATTGTAATATACTATTCTAGGATCACCTCCTACAGCAAGCGTCTCGGCAGATACTCAATCATTGTATGCCCCAGGAGCATCGGCTAATGGACCACAATTTTATATACCACCTCCAGCGAGTAAGTACAGCAGATATTTAAAAAATAACTAATTTTGGAAAAAAAATTGTTTGTTTAAAGATGTAAAATGAAAATGTAGTAGTAGTTTAGTATTCATGTCATGTTAACAACTAAAAAAATCTGAAATTACTTAATTCCAGATTCCTCTCAAGTGCTCTTTTGCAATAATATTTCAAATTTTAGGAGGTCCACTACCTTACCCAAGTTTTACAACTACATTTCAACCCGGAATTTTAGATCAAACTGGTAATTATACTTTAATTAATAATCAAGTAAATTTTTAAATTTTCTCAAATAGCTATTGATAAGTATGTTTGGAATGATAATTATAACATCCTTGTTTTATGTCGTTAAATAAAAAAAAACTGTTTTGTTCAATAGATAACGGCGTTACCACTCGAAGACCAAAGTTTCTGCAACCATCGTCCACAAGCCTTCCACCCACCCAAAATGGTAATAAAAAATTAGAGTAATAATAAAACATACCCAAACGTAATACTTTTTCAGCAGTTTTACCTCAATGGCTTCAAATTATGAGAACAAATAACGGAAATATTACCACTCTACAAGGTAAAAACTTTTGATTTAAAAAAATATATTTTTTTATTTTACGTTGTTCAAACTTATCATACACAAATATTTAAGGTATATTCAAACTGGGTCAAAGCGGCGCTGTTACCACACGTCCCCAGTGTCCTAAAACACCAGCAGGAACTGTCGGAGAATGCGTGATTATTTTTGATTGTCCTGAAATATACAATGATTTGACTGATCTCAACACATATCTACAATATTTTTGTCCTTTAAATGAGTAAGGATGTTTTCAGGATAAACAGATTAACACTATAAATGCAATTTTAGGTTTGCTGGAGTATGCTGTCCTTCAAGAGTCCTGCCAATCCCGCCAATGCCTTAAAAACTTTTATTATAGTATGTACCTTAATAAATAAACCAAAAATAAATTTTATACCCAATTACCAGTTTTTTCTTTCAAAAATAAAGTCACAAACATTACACGTAGTTTGATAAAAATTCTTTAGAAAATTACAAAATATGATTCAACTTCCAATTAAAAGTGATTGAAAATATGATAATTTTCACAGACATGTTGATTAGGAGTGGGGGAATCAAATGTTATAAAAGGAAGCTATTTAAATAAAAATTCATAAAAATTCACAAAATGAAATACATTTTCTTAGTAAATGTGTTACACCTGCTACTGATGTCCTATAATGTTTTTTCGGACGATAACAGCAGCTTTGTGGTGTCCACTACTGAATCTGAAGGAGTTAACAGTAGCTTCGTATCTACTATTGAACCAGGAGACGAAATTACCAATAGCTACGTATTATCAACTACTGAACCTGACGAACCAGTTAACGAAAAAGTTAACAATAGCATCGTATCATCTACTACTGAATCTGGAAGAGAAAAACAAACTTTTAATGTAAGTACTTAGAAGATGATAATACTGTTAATATTTTGCATAAAATTCTAGCATGAGAACCATGAAGTTAATCCCAAAATATATTTTATGAAAATTCATTCAAACGTAAATAATCGTTTCGCAACAACATTCGTGACAAGTAAAGTAAAAAATTTGAAAGAAGTTGCAGCAGAAACCGCCTTTTCAGTGATTTTACCCGAAAATGCCTTCATTTCAGCTTTTGCAATGGAAATTGATGGAAAAATATACAAAGCTACTGTTAAAGAAAAAGAGGAAGCTAAAGAATCGTACCAAGAGGTAAATGGCACTTATTTTGGCTAGAAATAATGTTAAAAATTTAGGCCGTATCAAGAGGACAAAGTGCGGCTCATGTTGAACTAAATGCAAGAGATTCAAAAACATTTACAGTTTCGGTGAATATCGAACCTCAAAGCAAAGTAATATTCAGGCTGACTTATGAGGAATTTCTTAAACGACAATTTGGGAAATATGAACTTTGTATTAATATTTATCCGGGACAAGTTGTGGACGATCTCAGTGTCAAAGTAAATAAAAATATGTTATGTGTCGGAGTATTTATTAATTGATTTCAGGTCCGTATTAACGAAAATAGGCCTTTAAAATTCATTAAAACACCCTCTGTTAGACCAGGAAATGATATTAGTAAAAACACCAACCAGCTAAATCCCTCAGCTAAAACAGAAATGTTTAACTCAACTTATGCTCTAGTTAAATTTGATCTCGATAGAAAAAAACAAAAAGAATTTGCAGAACTTTTAGGGTATGAGAAGGAGAATGGATTAGGTGGCCAGTTTGTTGTTCAATATGATGTTGAAAGAGATCCTCAAGGTGGAGAGGTATCAATATAGAATCATATATAATATTCTCCTCTTTTACGCATTTTTCAAGGTTCTGGTCCGTGATGGTTACTTTGTACATTTTTTCTCTCCGTCTGAGCTGAAATCTCTACCAAAACACGTAGTTTTTGTTCTAGATCACAGTGCTAGTATGTATGGAAAAAAAATTATTCAGTTGATAGACGCAATGCAAAATATTTTATCCGAACTGAAAGAAACCGATTTGTTTAACATTGTTCGCTTTGCAAACTTGGCCCTAGTTTGGAATGCGTCACAAAATAAATTCATTCAACTTCCAGATTTACAAGATTATGGAAATCTTGAACCATATTTAAGAGTAATCACATTTTAAAACACAAATTAGTGTTACTAAGTGGGTTATTTTAGAAATTGAATATCTCTCATGCTGTTAAAGCCACGAAAGAAAATGTTGATGCGGCCAAAAAGATCATCACGGATAAGTCTAATCTAGGAATGACTAACATGATTTATGGCTTGGAAGTCGGTTTATTTTTAATTAAAAAAACACAAGAAGAGGTGTCTGATAAATATCAACCTATGATTATATTTCTGAGTGATGGCTATCCCAATGTTGGAATGCCTGACCGGATTGAAATTATAGATACGGTAACGAGAACAATAACAAATGTTAAATCTCGAATTTTTCACTTTAGGTAACAAATCTCAACAACGGGACTTCAATTTTCTCACTTTCGTTCGGAGATTCAGCCGATCGAAATTTCTTAAGAAAACTGTCATCTCAAAACTTGGGCTTTTCAAAGCACATTTACGAAGCTTCAGACTCGTCGCTGCAATTACAAGAATTTTATCACGCGATTTCTTCACCACTTTTAAGCAATGTCAACTTTAAATACGATGATGGAACGAAGGACGTAACTGAAACGCGTTGTCCGATTCTTTTCAGAGGTTCTGAAATGGTTGTAGCAGGGAGAACAAGTAAATTTTTCAGGATTAAAAATTCGAGAAACTTTACAATTTATTATTTAAGGAATGGATAACAATGTTTTAAGTCATGTTGAAGGGTGGACTAACAGAGGCCCTGTTAAATTTATTGCTACCAAAAGTGAAGCTGTTGGTTCTTTGGAACGACTGTGGGCATATTTGACTGTTAATCAACTTTTAAAACAAAACGAGACTACAAAAAATGAATTAGATTTAATCAAAAAAGCCCTTGATATGTCTCTGAAATATTCATTTGTTACCCCTGTTACTTCTTTGGTTGTTGTTAAACCTTACAACCAAACAGAACTGGTGGAGGGTCTTTCTGCACAACTCATTTCACGTATGCACAAACACATCTACATATTTAGTTTACATTGATTATGATTTCAGCATGGCTTGGACTCCCTAAAAACATTTCAAGTAAAATAAAAGTATTTTTCTCCAACACAGTTAAAAATTTGTTTATTTGTTTTAACAATATAAAAAGAAAAGAGTCTTGAAAGAAAAAAGTGAACACAAAATTTTCCTAACTGTGTTGGAAAAAACTAATTTATGAAAATAGTTGTCTATTCTAAAATCCATTTCTAAAATGAATATTTCGTTTTAAGAAGGTAATAATTTTTAGTTTGGAGAAAAGAATCCTCAGGACTTTCAGCACTTTCAGGAATGTATATTACAGGTAAATAAACATCAATTTGCCATAAGATTTTAATTAATAAAAAAAAATGACATTTCGTTGGAATAGTATATTTTTTATTTATATGCATCGAATTGCTTTATTTATTTTAGAACGGTCGTCAACTAGAGCAGAAAACGTGCAAGGAAACAGGAAAACTACTTTTGGTAGGTATTACACTAACTGTAAAAAGTACAAAGTAGTAAAAAATTGTTTCTGTTTTTCTAAGTATTAGGTCCAGTTTACACCTCGAGGGCCACACAACAGTCAGCGTTCCTGAGACCATATCCTAAAAATAGTAGAAGAAAAAATCATGACAATAAAGAATACTTTCAAAAATTTTCAGTAACCTTACCTCAATGGTTCGAAAACATAAAAATTAATAATGAAAACATCGCACTTCCACAAGGTATGTTTTTTTATTTAAAAATGCAAAACAAATTAATGAACTTTTTCAATATTTAGGAATATTTAAATTAGGTCACAGTGGAGCTGTAGCAACACGTCCTTATTGTCCTAAAACACCGAAAGGAAGTGTTGGAGAATGTGTAATTATCTTAGATTGTCCAGAAATTTACAAAGATTTAACTGATCTCAACACATTTCTTCAATACTTTTGTCCTTTAAATGAGTAAAAATTTGCAAACATAATTGTGTAAAAATTAGAAACTAAATTTCAGGTTTGCCGGGGTTTGTTGTCCTTCAAGAAACGCTTCAACACCTACTTAATGAATTATAATACATTCTATGTAAAATAATTACAAGAAGAAGAATACAATTATTATAAAAAAGTGTCGTATTCTTGTTTATCTGTTTCGTTTAAAAAAATTAAATGTAAACAATTATAAGAAATTTGAATTTTATAAACTATTTGAATAATTTGTAGATTAACTGATTTACTCATTCCTTCATTCCTAACTAATTTATTTCTCATTTCTTTTAATTGAATGGCATTTCATTATTAGCATTGTGGACAATATAATGATCGGTGATTAAATTTACGTAAATCAGCTACAATCGGAAATTACTTAATTGTTTCCTGTGTTCGTCTTGCTGGTAAAAATTATAACACATATTATAAAAATGAAACACTGTTACAACATCAAAAAACCTCCTTGTAATAATGTCGTGTCAGTAAACCTACTTTCTCCGGTTGAACGGAGAAAAAAATAATTTCCTGCTCTCACACTTAAAGGTTCCGACCATCAAATATTTATAACAAAATATTTATGTTATTGTTGCATAATTAGTTGACATTAAAGATGAATAAACAAAAGACAACGAAAATGTAAATATGTGGCCAATTTTATTCTATGGTCACTTACGAATAGTACACCATTTTACATAAACCCATGTCAGTATATAATCATCGTTTGCAATTGTTTTAATATTTATGACCTCGGGTTGTGTTAAGACCAGATACGGTAGAGTAATTGTCAAACACTACACAGCTTCCTCTCCTAGGTTTGTAACGTTTGGTGATTGCTGGCATTTACTTCACCGATTGTATCTGTGTCGCGTCCACTTCGGAGTTGTTACTCGTGCCATACCATAACGGTGCCTGCGAATTTCAAGTGCATTTGGTTTTTGTGTAATACCAACAACCTTCAATGAATTTCAATCAACATTGTGTAAAATATTTGGGTTAAAGTAAGTCAATTTTTAGAACACATACACGAAAAAACTAATATTTTCAATTTTTCAAATTTTTGTATTAGATTTTAAACATGAAAATATTAATTATGTTCCACAGGCAATTAAAAATAAGTTATTTAACTCCTTCACCTTCACCGTTCGAAAATTTTACAGGTCTAGGATAAAATAAATTACAATCTGTGTTTTTTGTAATCTTCTTTTGACTGAATAAGAATTTAACGTTAAATAAAATATTATTATAATAGATAAACTCTTAAATCATTTTTTTGTATAGCTTCATGTGTCTACATTGTAATTACAAATAATATTCTTTATTATTACAAAAATGAAGCAGATACTATACTTATTGGTGTTTTTTGACTCACTCGGATTGAAAAAAAAAATTTAATCAAAATGAATATAACGAAAAAGTATTATAGTATACATCGGGTATAATCTGTCTATGTTTACATTAATTACTATTTTAATATAGTGATAATTTACAGGTCACTGATAGCAAGTTTTTTTTATAAAGTTCATTATAAATTACAGAAAAAAACAGAGTTCATAAAGAATTTGTAACAAACGTCACTATTTTAATTATTTTGAATTTGGCGTAGGTAATTATAATAATAATAATCTTTACTACCCAAAAGATATTACAATCCATTTGTAAGGTAAAATTACAATAACATAAACAAAACTATTAACAAAACTAACTTGACAATAAATTAAAAAGTAAGTACTCAAAAAATGCAAAAATGAAACAAAATAAATTTAATTTGAATTAAATGTGTTTGCAGCGAGTTTGCTGACGGAAAGGACGAGTGGGTACATTAAACTTTAATTATTATTATAATAGTAAATTCCTTTTATTCTTCGACACTGTCAAAATTTACGGTTTTTCTCCCGTGTAAGGAAGTTTTGACAACTGTTTGGCATTTCTCAATACAAAACGTCGAATTATTTTTAACAGATTTAAAGCAAGTTTAAGCCTTGTTGACTCTAATTCGAAGAATAAAATGTTGTATTCCACTCGTTTAAGTGTAAATTGGACGCTTTATTCCACCTCGTGGATGGTAAACCACTCGTTACACTCGTGGTTTAAAAATCCACTCGGTCAAATAAAGAGTCCGATTTACACTCAAACTCGTCGAATAAATAACTATTTTATTTGTATAATTGTATACTCAAAAATAATAAATTTTCGAAAAAAACTTAATAAACAAGATAAAATCTTTTTTTAATAGGAAAATAAATGTTTAAGTTTATGTGAACCTTACATATTTATGTATTATTATTCTTTATTAAGTTTATTAAACATTTTACATCAGTTTTATCTACGTTTTAAAATGCAAAATGCAATAACAATATGTATATAAATGCTGTAATATCACGTTTGTGTATATTGCTTATTGTTTCATTATTTCCAATAAAAATAATTTATTTCATATTTATTTAAAAATTACCTACATAAGAAATGAATTTGTTTAAAAACTTTAAATTCCACCAATAAACGTTTTTACAAGTTTTTACAAGTGTGATAATTTTCTTAGTTCAGAATCGTTCAATTCTCGACATGTTTAGTCATTGAATATGAAGCAAAATAGTTTTCAACAACACATCTACTAAGAATTTGTTATTTATTTTGGATTTTGGACCCAAATCCATTTACAAATAACATGACTAACTTTTAATAACAAGTCGATAAATGAAACTAGAGTTGATTGTTATCAGAGGTCAAATCTTTAATTAGTGCCATAATTATGATTAACCAATTTAAACTGTACTAATAAGTAATAACCAAGAAACTGTATACATACACATACCTGGCACAAGTTGATATTTTTTTATAACAGTATAGTAACATTTGATATGATAATAACACTTGATATTTTTTATGCATAAAAAGGTAAAAAAACATTCCCGTTGTTTAGTTATTTTTATTTGTTTTGTTCAAACTTTACATGTGTAGAACAAGATGACTTTTAACATGTTTACTTCATTATTCCTGTACAAAATATGATTACCAAACAGATAAAATACAGTTACATACTTCAGCATTTTATGAAATTTTCCCAGAATTGAAACAACTAAAAATATTTTATCTGTTTCAGCAATGTCGGAAAAAGACGCCGCAAACTCGGACATAATCCAAAAATCAATCGGAGTTTTTGGACGATGGCATGTAGCAGTGTGCTTTATTATCTTTCTTGTCAAATTCCCAGTAGCCTGGCATCAACTCAGCATAGTATTTCTAGCACCTCCAGTTGAATTCTCATGTATAGATAATGAAACAGATAAATGTTCCAGTAACTGTAGTGAGCACATTTTTGACAGGTTGTCCCACCGACTTTCCCTATTTTTTACAAATTTAACAACCGTAGATCAATTTTTGCTGAAACAATTATCACTCAATGGGACCTAGTATGTGGTAGAACACATTTAGCAAGTCTGGCTCAAACTGTAACTATGCTTGGGATTCTATTCGGGAATATGCTTTTCGGTTATCTTTCTGATAGATTTGGAAGAAGAGGTCCATTGACTGCAGCAGTGATATTGCAAGTCGTTTCTGGGACTTGCACTGCTTTTGTTCCTTATTTCGGACTATTTCTCTTTTTGCGATTTTTGGCTGCTTTGTCCACGGGAGGAACAATGGTCGTTAGTTTTGTATTAGTGATGGAATTAGTAGGTAAGTAACAAATAAATTTATAGAAATTGAAAATTACCAACTAAATCGTTTTTAGGACTGGAATGGCGAACCACTTTAGGAATCCTCTACCAAATTCCCTTCAACCTTGGTCACTTATTATTGCCTCTATTTGCCTACTTTCTTCGCGACTGGAAATACTTTCAAATTACGATATCACTACCTGCTATTATTTTAATCTCTTACTATTGGATTCTACCAGAGTCTCCTCGTTGGTTGCTAACAGTGGGTAAAAAGGACAACGCGATCAAACTTTTGGAAAAAGCCGCACATTATAACAAACTACCGACGGAAAATATCAAAGAAGACGTTCACAACTACTTGCAAAAGAACGAAATCAGTGAAGAGAAACAAGCTGGCAACATTTTAGATTTAGTAAAAACGCCAATAATGCGAATGTATACAATTTGCGTTGGTTTCAACTGGTTCGTCTGCGGATTATGTTTCTTCGGAAGTGCACAATATATCGGCCAATTGGGAGGAAATATTTTTATTAACGTTGCTCTATCTGCTGTTATCCAAATCCCGAGTACTCTTTTCTCAATCTGGGCTGTGAAAGCGTGGGGACGGAAACGAACCTTAATTTCAAGCAACATTTTAGCAGGAATTTCTTGTCTATTGATAGCCCTAGTGCCTGAAAAACTAGCTTGGATTAGGACAACGCTGAGTTGTGTTGACATGTTTGCATTAGCTGTTTCTTTTCCAACAGTCTATATTTATTCGGGAGAACTTTTCCCGACTGTTGTTAGAAATATTGGTGTGGGAACATCGTCAATGTGTGCTAGGTTTGGCTCAATGGCTGCACCGTTTATTGCAGGACTTGTTGTAGTACAAGCGTGGTTACCGCCGGTGATTTTTGGGGTTACTCCTCTTGTTGGGGCAGTTCTTTGTATAAAATTACCCGAGACTCTTAATTGTAAATTACCAGATTCAGTTGAAGAAGCGGAGCAGTTTGTTAAAAAAACGCTAGTTAGTAATGACACAGAGATGAGATAAGCATGATACATATTAGTAAAAAATTGTATATAATTCTGAGTAGGAAAATTTCAATACAGGTGTTTTGAAATTTATTTTTCCTACTTTAATTTAACAATGAAGTCTTTCAATACTGTGTATATTTTCAAATAAATAAAGTTAGTAATGAAGTAAGTGTTAGTATACATTCTTCCCGGCGCATCCACCAAAATTAAAAGATAATTTTTGTCTAAGATAGAATTTTGGAAAAAAGTACTTAGCAGTTTTACTTAAGTACAGCTAAAATTAATTTAATATAATAAATACAAATCCTCGTCGTATCCAGTTTAATACATTTTCACACAAATGCGTCTCATATTGTCATCAATCCTTTACTATTGTGTTTCGGTTATCTATATGTCTGTTTTCCATCTTTATAACAGGTATTTCAGTATTGTAACATTGTGTTTACAAAGTACACGCTCACTTTGATAAGTTTGTGTTTTTAAAGTTTGTTTTAGTAACATTTTTTGTGTAGTAGTGTTTAATTAAAAAGTAAGTTTAATTAAAAAGTTTTGTAATTTAATAGTACCAAAAAAATAACTTAACAACAGATTTTGTCCAATAATAAATCAATTTGTTTAAATGCTTGTCTTGTATACAATATTTATTACTTTATGAAAGACTGAAATGTATCGAGTGCATTATCATTATTTCGTAAACAATGTATTTGACATGAATTTCATTATCTACAAATACTAAAATTAAAAAATAAATATCTTATCTAAATCCTCTGCAATCATCCTTATTTAGTATTCTAACAAAATGTTTAAACATTTTATTTCAGTAGCCTTCTTTAGATAACAATTACTCTGTAAATTTCTTTACTCATCAAAGCATATTATGTAACAAACTTTTAGTTTGATTTTTGCATATTACTCACAAAGAATTTAATAAATAACAATAGTAAGAATGAGAAAATTTTCAAGTAAGGTAAGATACCACGAACATGAAAAAAATATTAAAAAAAAAATTCTCTGACAAAAAATTTTTATATTTATTTTTTGAGATTTGACATTTTTTGTTGCTATTTAATGATACTGATGATCTTGTATAGGCTTTTTACAATTGTTTAGTAAAGGTACAAAAATTTTGCCAATAAAAGCCTCAAATCACATTGAACAGAGTTACAATTTAGGATACAGCTTCTTTGTTTCCTCTTTTAATAGCCTATAGCAAAAAAAAACTTAGATAATTATTTTCCAACAGAAATAAGTAGAGGCAAAGTGCAAAATTTACACTCTCATAACTTCGAAATTTTTATAGATACATTTTTTTTTTAACATTTTTTCCATGTCCCTGGTATCATACCTTATCTGGCATTTTTCTCTGTATTTACAGACATTTTATAATCATTTATTTCTGAAAAGGAATGCCTAGAAAAAAATCCTAAATCGAAAATTTTTAAAAAATAGTAACTGGAAATTATATAAAATTTTATTTCAGCAATGGAAAAAGATAGTACAAACTCGGACATAATCCAAAACTCGATTGGAGTCCTTGGAAGATGGCACATAGCAATATGCTTCATGATTTTTCTTGTCAAATTTCCGGCCGCTTGGCACCAACTTGGCATTGTGTTTCTAGCACCTCCTGTAGAATTCTCCTGCATTGATAACAAAACTGATAAATGTTCCAATGACTGCAATGAACACATTTTTGACAGGTGTAACTAACTATTTTCTTTAATTTCCAGTTTTATCAATTTTTTAAACGCAGGTCAATTTTTACTGAAACAATCATCACCCAATGGGACCTCGTGTGTGCTAGAACATATCTAGCAAGTCTGGCGCAGACTATAACCATGCTTGGGATTCTGTTCGGGAATATGCTTTTCGGTTACCTTTCTGATAGGTTTGGTCGAAAAGGTCCACTGACTGGAGCTGTGGTGTTGCAAGTTGTTTGTGGAATTTGTACTGCGTTTGTTCCTTATTTTTCGCTCTTTCTTATTATGCGATTTTTGACTGCTTTGGCTACGGGAGGTACAATGGTCATCAGTTTTGTACTAGTGATGGAATTAGTAGGTAAGACCCAATAAAGTTGTACCAACAAAAGAACTAAATAAATTTTAGGGTTACAGTGGCGCACCACAATGGGTATCCTTTATCAAATCCCCGGCAATCTTGGTCATATGTTAATGCCCTTATTCTCCTATTTCATTCGAGACTGGAAATATTTCCAAATTGCAATATCCATACCTGCTGTTATTCTAATCTCTTACTATTGGTTTCTACCAGAGTCTCCTCGTTGGTTACTAACAGTTGGTAAAAAGGAGAAAGCAATCAAACTTTTGGAAAAAGCCGCCCATTATAACAAACTCAAGACGGAAAATATTAAGGAAGACGTTTACAAATATATGAAAAACAACGAAATCAGTAAAGAAAAACAAACTGGCAACATTTTAGATTTAGTAAAAACGCCAATAATGCGAATGTATACATTTTGCGTTGGTTTCAACTGGTTCGTCGGCGGATTATGTTTCTTCGGAAGTGCACAATACATTGGCCAAATGGGAGGAAATATTTTTATTAACGTAGCTCTATCTGGTGTTATCCAAATCCCTAGTACTTTCTTTTCAATCTGGGCTGTGAAAGCGTGGGGACGAAAACGGACTTTAATTTCTAGCAACATTTTAGCAGGAATTTCTTGTCTTTTGATAGCCCTTGTGCCTGAGAAACTAGCTTGGATTAGGACAACGTTGAGTTGTGTTGACATGTTTGCATTAACTGTTTCTTTTCCAACAGTCTATATTTATTCAGGAGAACTTTTTCCGACTGTTGTTAGAAATATTGGTGTGGGAACATCGTCAATGTGTGCTAGGTTTGGCTCAATGGCTGCACCGTTTATTGCAGGACTTGTTGTAGTACAAGCGTGGTTACCGCCGGTGATTTTTGGGGTTACTCCCCTTATTGGGGCAGTTTTTTGTATAAAATTACCCGAAACTCTTAATTGTAAATTACCGGATTCGGTTGAAGAAGCGGAACAGTTTGTTAAAAAACACTAGTAATAATGACACATAAATGAAATAAATCAAGATACATGTTAGTAAAAAGTTTTGTCCAATTCTAAGTAGAAAAATTTCAACACAGGTGTTTTGAATTCCATTTTTTCTACTTTATTTTAACAAATTCGGAGTCTTTCAATATTGTATATACTCCCATTTTTTAATAAATATGTAGAAGTTAGTTATCAACAAAGTAGTATTAGTAATAATTCAATCTTCCCGGCGGCGGCGCATCCACCAAATATTTCAAACGGTTTTACTGATTAATTACCTTTTCAAAAACAATTTTTATTTGAAAATAATGGGTTTTTGAGAAAAAAGATTTACCGTTTTGTTTAGGTACAATTATAGATATATTACTTTGATGTAATAATATAAATCCTTGTCGTATCCAGTTTAATAGGTAATATATTTTCACATAAATGCGTCCCATAACGTCATCAATCTCTTACTATTGTGTTTCGGTTATCTATGTCTGTTTCCCATCTTTACTACAGGTATTTCAGTATTGTAACATTGTGTTTGCAAAGCACACGTTAATTTTCATTAGTTTGTGATTCCAAATTATGCTTTAGTAACATTTCTTAGTGTAGTAGTGTTTAGTTAAAAAGTAAGTCTAATTAAAAAGTTTGGTAATTTAGTGCCAAAAAAATAAGTAAACAACAGATTTTGTCCAATAATAAATCAATTTGTTTAAATGTTTGTCTTGTAAACAATATTTATTGTTTTATGAAGGGCTGAAACTATATCGGAGTCGATAATTATTGTTTCTCAGACTACTGTAAACAATACTTTTCACATGATATTTTTATCTACAAATACTAAAATTAAAAACAAATATCTTATCTTAATCCTTTACATTTATGCTAATGTAGTGTTTTAACAAAGTGTTAAAACATATTATTTCGAAAATAGCTGTGTTTATTTACAAAGCAATTAATTTTTAATAAATCTCTTTACTATGTAGCATAGCACATTATGTAACAAACATTGAAATTTATTATTTGCTTTTCTTCACAAAAATTCAAATCTTCTAAAATAAATAATAATAATGCCAATATTTTCCAGGCAAGTACAGAAGTATCTGTGCAGGTGTGTATTTAAAATAACTTGTTTCTGAAATGTATTAGCCAGGAAGGAATTTTAAATCGAAAATGTTTAATAAAGTAGCAACTAGAAATGATTCCATACTTTTTTGAAGAACTTTTTCAATGATTCCATACTTTTTTGAAGAACTTTTTCAAAAGAATAAACGAAAAAGAATAGAAAACAGACAGATAGGCTGGACTAGATAACATGCAACCGGGGATTTTCCCGCGGAGCCCCGAATTTGAAGAAGCCCCCTTATAATATTGTTATGCATGCTAAAAATAATATTAAAAATTAATTTGAAAAGTTTCATGATATTAAACGTCGAACAGATAAATTAATAACTTTTTTGCGCTATTGAGCTCTATTTGATTGTTTGCCACGACAGTAAGTTGTATTTACTTGTTGCTATCCCAAACTCGTCGGTAAGTATTTTGTTTTTTTTTGCTAAGTCGGCAAAATACTTTGCCGTTCTAGAACATTTTTTAAATGTTTTATTAACAAAAACTAAATAATAATAACCAGATATTCAAGTATCATATACATCCAGAATATTTTGCTTTTTAATTCTCTTATAATTTCTAAAAATGTTATTTCATTTGCGACCCCAAGAGGTCCAGAAGAAAATACCTACTGTCTTTTAGTGCTAAAATGTGTTGTATAAAAAATGTTAAACATTATTAGTAACTTAAGTAAAATGTAAAATTGTCTTTTGAAAACTGATAAAATCTTGGATATTTTGGATATTTCTAATATTTCTCTGAATACGATTGTCACAAAAAATTGTGTGTTAGAGCACCATTTCACTTTAAAAAATGCATTTAATTTCAGCAATGACGCAGAAAGATGAGGCAGGTTCGGACATCATCCAAAAATCGATTGGAATCCTTGGAAGATGGCACATAGCAGTATGTTTCATGATTTTTCTCGTCAAATTTCCGGTAGCTTGGCACCAACTCGGCATTGTGTTTCTAGCACCTCCTGTAGAATTCTCCTGCATTGATAACAAAAGTGATAAATGTTCCAATGATTGTAATAAACACATTTTTGACAGGTGTAATTAATTTTTTTAATTTCCATTTTTATAATTTTTTTTAAACGCAGATCAATTTTTACTGAAACAATCGTCACCCAAAGGGACCTTGTGTGTACTAGGACATATCTAGCAAGTCTAGCCCAGACTATAACCATGCTTGGGATACTGTTCGGGAATATGCTTTTCGGTTACCTTTCTGATAGATTTGGAAGAAGAGGTCCACTGACTGGAGCTGTGGTGTTGCAAGTTGTTTGTGGGATTTGTACTGCGTTTGTTCCCTATTTTTCACTCTTTCTTGTAATGCGTTTTTTGACTGCTCTGGCGACGGGAGGTACAATGGTCATTAGTTTTGTACTAGTAATGGAGTTAGTGGGTAAGTACCAATACATTTACACCAACAAAAAACTAAATAAATTTTAGGGTTACAGTGGCGAACCACAATGGGAATTCTCTACCAAATCCCCTTTAATCTCGGCCACATGTTAATGCCCTTATTTTCCTATTTTCTCCGAGACTGGAAATATTTCCAAATTGCAATATCCATACCTGCTGTTATTCTAATCTCTTACTATTGGGTTCTGCCAGAGTCTCCTCGTTGGTTACTAACAGTTGGTAAAAAGGACAAAGCAATCAAACTTTTAGAAAAAGCCGCCCATTATAACAAACTCCCGACGAAAAATATCAAAGAAGACGTTTACAACTATATGAAAAAGAACAAAATCAGTGAAGAGAAACAAGCTGGCAACATTTTAGATTTAGTAAAAACGCCAATAATGAGAATGTACACTTTTTGTGTTGGTTTCAACTGGTTCGTCTGCGGATTATGTTTCTACGGAAGTGCACAATACATTGGCCAAATGGGAGGAAATATTTTTATTAACGTAGCTCTATCTGGTGTTATCCAAATCCCTAGTACTTTCTTTTCAATCTGGGCTGTGAAAGCGTGGGGACGAAAACAAACTTTAATTTTTAGCAACATTTTAGCAGGGATTTCTTGTCTTTTGATAGCTTTGGTTCCTGAAGAACCAGCGTGGATAAGGATATCTTTGAGCTGTGTAGACATGTTTGCATTAATTGTGTCTTTTCCAACGGTGTACATTTATTCAGGAGAACTTTTCCCGACTGTTGTTAGAAATATTGGTGTGGGCACATCGTCAATGTGTGCAAGATTTGGCTCGATGGCTGCACCGTTTATTGCAGGACTTATTACACTTCAGACGTGGTTGCCACCGGTTATTTTTGGGATTGTACCCCTTATTGGAGCAGTGCTTTGTATAAAATTACCCGAGACACTTGATTGCAAATTACCTGATACAATTGAAGAAGCGGAACAGTTTGTAAAAACAACGGATTGTAATTCGGAAACAAAATGAAAATAAAGAGTCAAAAAATAAAGTCTCAAATAAGTTATCTAACATTCAAAAATCGTAAATCCCCTTCTACAGTACAGTCTAGAACAAAAAAATCAGATGACCCTTCTTTCTTAATTTCAGTTGACTGTTTTAATGCCACATTTATTTTTTACAATTGAATATAAACAACTATTTATCATGTACTTGACTTGTACTCCATCTCTTATTCTTAAAACTTATATAAAAGCTTGCATAATAAAATGTTCGTCATATGCGGATATATTAATTTTTCTATTGCCATTTACACTAATGACGGCCTCAAAATTCTTGTGTTGTGCTTATTATTATAAAAAATCAAGATTATACAAACAAATACAAAAGAAATAAATAAACAAACATTGACAAGGCATTAAGTAATTAATTTTTTTATAAAAATTCTGGAGAACACTAGCTAATAACTTGTTTAGAAAACAAAAAAAATCAGATACTTTTTTCAATGAACAAACCGATACTTTAGATTGACGTTTACGAAGAAATATTTGTTTACCATGAATGAATATTAATATGATAATCAAAAAGTCGGCATCTTTTGTTATAATTAAGTATAACATAACGATCCTGTTTCAGGAACTAGTCGCTATCATAAGTAAAAAAATAAGTAACGTTCAAAAATTCCGAAATATTTCTTGCTAGTCAGCAGAGATAAATGAAACAATTTGTATATTCCTGCTACCAGAAGCACAATCTCTTGTGATAAGATACACAAGAATTGTGTTATTTAGTTAAATTACTTCTTGGGATAACCCGCGAGGTCATATTTTAAATTGATTTGGTGGGAGACTCTTGTACAATATAATACCGGTTTTAAATTCACTAGTTAACATTCAGTGCCGACTCTTGGTATAATCTTGTATTGTGGTTGTGATTGACTTTTTTACTCCTTGCTTGTAAGTAAAACTGTAAGAAACATTTAAAATTTTGTCAATAAATTATTATGCAACAGATTTAATCAAAATTAAAATTTTGTTTTCACAACACTATAGATAAATTTTGAAAAGTTATCACAATCGATATGTCGTGATTTGCTAGTAATTACTGAAGACACTGTTTACATGGAGTTTCTCAGTAAGCTGAATGATAATGGGGATTGGGGAAAACCCATGTCCCAGCAATCTAAATTACCATCTGTAATGGTACTATAAACTCGCAGTGTTGAAATGCATTTGTTTGTATTATCATGCAAATTTAATCAGCTTATAAATCAACTACCAGCAATCTAAAAACCAGTGCATAGTCTGTCGCAAACAAACCAACATTAAAAACAAATTTTTACAGAATTCAAAACAAAATGAAAAATAAAGTCCAACTAGGATTCTGCTTTGCATTATGCATTTCTGCTACTTTTGGCTTTGCCACAGACAGAAATAGTTTAGTGGTGTCATCCACAGAACCTTCGAAAGAATCTTCAAGTGAGGTTGCCCCTAATAAGGTACAATTTTACTATTTTCTAAACTCAAAATGAAAAATAATTTAATAGGAGGATGTTGCACCAATCGTACCAAAAATTTACGAAATGAAGGTGGACACAAACGTATCAAATCGATTTGCCAAAACTTCAGTTGTTAGTAAAGTGAAGAATTTAGCGAAAACAGCACAGGAGGCAACTTTTTCAGTTGTGTTGCCCGAAACTGCGTACATTTCTGGATTCGTGATGGAAATCGACGGGAAAAGCTACAAAGCGTATGTAAAAGAAAAAGAAGAAGCAAAACAAATTTATAATGAGGTAAACACTTAATTATTAATTTTGTTTACAACCTATTGACTTTTGCAAGGTCATTTGGTGCGATGAGTAACTTAAATAATTTAGAGCTCACAACTCTTGATAATTCTAAAATTAAACATAATATCCTCATTACCGTGTCAAATTCTTGTCTTATTCGTCAACAATTGTTACAAAAAAATTCCTTAGGCCGTTGGAAGAGGACAAGCAGCCGCTCATGTCGAGGCTAACGCAAGAGATTCCAACAGATTCACTGTTTCTGTAAACATCGAACCGCAAAAGAAAGCAGTTTTCACTCTAACTTACGAAGAATTGCTTCAACGTCAAAACGAACAATACGAAATTGTAATTAACATCCATCCAGGGCAACCAGTCAAAGATTTAAATGTCGAGGTAAGTTTCCCATTATAAAAACCCCAATAAATAAAAAAAATTTAGGTACATATCGACGAAAGCAAACCACTGAAATTCGTTAAATCTCCCCCTCTTCGAACCGGAAACGAGATTTCCAAAAACGACGATAAAGTCGCCTCATTGGCCGAAATCAACAAAATTAATTCAACTTCAGCAACGGTTAAATTCAGTCCGAATATTGAACGACAAAAGCAATTGGCAACTGGTTTAGGTACAAAAGAAGAAAATGGTTTAGCCGGCCAATTCGTGGTGCAATATGATGTTGAAAGAGACCCCAAAGGAGGCGAGGTCTTACTCAAGGATGGTTATTTCGTCCACTTCTTTGCCCCCACTGATGTGGAAGCTCTACCGAAACAAGTTATTTTCGTTTTGGACACCAGTGGTAGTATGGAAGGAAACAGAATCAGACAGTTAAAAGAAGCAATGAATAGTATTTTGAGTGAATTGAAAAATGAAGATTTATTCAATATTGTGGAATTCAGTTCGATTGTAAAAGTCTGGAATGTTGATAAGGTTGAAGTTGATTATGAAGTTGGTGAAGATCCTTGGCCTTTGTATGACACTCCAGATGCCCCTAAGAAGAATAAAACAAACCAGGTTTTGCCTCCGGCTTACCAGGCCACCGAAGAAAATAAAGAAAAAGCGAAGAAAGTTGTTGACAAGTTGAACGCGTACGGAGGTACCGATATTAAATCTGCATTGGAAGTTGGTTTGAAACTTGTGAAAAAGAATAAAGAAGATAAGAAAAATACACACCAACCGATTATTATGTTTTTGACTGATGGTGAGCCAACAATGGGTGAAACCAACACTGAGAAAATCACATCTGCTGTAAGATTAAACTTAAACTTAAACCAATCTTCAAGTTTGCACTAACAAAGAGTAAAATTTTCAGATTTCTGAACTGAACAGTGGCGAAATCCGCTCACCCATATTCTCGTTGTCATTCGGCGACGGTGCTGATCGCGAATTTTTGCAAAAGATATCTTTGAAAAATTTAGGTTTTGCAAGACACATTTACGAAGCAGCTGATGCCAGTCTCCAGTTGCAAGAATTCTACAAACAAATCTCTTCGCCATTGTTAAACAATGTTAACTTCAAATACGTTTCAAATGTGACAAAACTGACCAAAACTGTGTTTCCAATTTATTTCCGAGGATCCGAAATCGTCGTTGCTGGAGTGGCAGGTATTTTAGAATTAAATTTTTATGTCAAAAATAATATTTAAAATGGTAAATTCAAGAGGATGAATTTGTGCCACCCTCAATCGAAGGTAATAGCCTAAGAGGACCGATCATCTGGAGTCCAAAAGTTGAAAACCCAGTTGGCGACTTGGAAAGACTTTGGGCTTATCTCACTGTTAAACAAATACTCGAGGCTAGGGATGCCGCCGAGAAGAAGGAACCCTACACGAAAAAGGCGTTAGATATTGCATTGAAATACTCATTTGTGACACCAGTTAGCTCCTTGGTTGTGGTCAAACCGAATGATACGAGTGCTGTGAATACGGAAGATGCCTCAAAATGTAAGAAAAATTGCGAGTGTCACTCATACTCATATTCATAACAATTTTTTCAGCTGCCGACAGGCCGTACTTTCTAAATGGAAGTAAGTTAAAACGTAAATATCTAAAAGTTTAATTGTAAATAACAACACTGTCGAATTTTTAATACAAAAAGTATTTCGATTTCAGATTATGCATTGACAAGTTACACAAACAGATTAGGTAAGAAAAAAATAACATATCTCAATTAGAATTTTAAGTTAAAAAATACTAAGTAGCACAGTCGTTTAAATCTGTTTTTAATTTTCTAACCAATTCGATTTTGTTCTGTATAAAATGACAAATAATGTTTAGTATGATATATCTTGCACAGTAAAAATAATAAATGCACAGTATTTTATTGCAATTTGTTCAGTATAAAAGTGCACAGTAAAAAATCAGATTTGCACAGTAAAAATAATAAACGTTCAGTAACTTTAATCAAAATTAGTAACTAAAATAACATAAAATTTAGACAACGTATTGATATTTAAATAATATTACTTGACGTTTAAATAATATACTGTGCATTTAATTTGTTCTCTTTTTTAATTAGGTGCACCAACACTTAGCTTAGGACAACCAGTGCCCGCATCTGCGTTTGCAGGTAAATAATTACCATATTTTGGATAACAAACATTTAATTCAAACCACTGGTAGCCCCTTCGCCCCAATATGCACAAATTCTTCCGGATGACGCATATGAGTCATTTGACACAGCGCAAGAGGTGACTTCAATGTATATTTCTGAAACAACTCAACTTCCAACTACAATACCAACGACCACAGATTTGTACGAAGACATCAAGAATAAATTACCATGGCTTAAAGATATTATAATGGAAAATGGAACAATAACTTTGCCCAATGGTAAATTATTTGAGAAAAAAACTTTTATTTGAAGTGACTGTTTTAGGAAATTATAAAATTAGCACAAATGAAACAGTGACCTCAACTCCCCAGTGTCCTAAAACACCCATAAATGGTACCGCTGGGGTGTGCACGCTTTTACCACATTGTCCACAAGTGTTTTCGCTGTTAACAGATGCGAAAATTTTCCAGGACTTTTTCTGTCCTTTGGATACGTACGAAATTTACTTAAATTAGTGCTATTTTATTAAAATGTCTGTTACAGATTTGTTGGAGTGTGTTGTCCAATTACAACAGGAGCCACAAGTGCAAGTTCTTAATATTCTTATTCTGTGATTACTGATTACTAAGTTTATGTACCTACTATAATTTTAGGACAAGTTAATAAAACATGTTTTACTAGTTTTTTGTTTCACCACGCTTGCTATTTTTGAAAAAAAAAAAATTGTAATTAAAAATAGAATTTAAAATAATAAGTAATAAAAAAAGTATTGGTTCATATTTGAAGAAGATTAAGTATTTCTGTTAGTAAAAATGTAGGGATTCAAAAGGTAAGTGAATAACTCCCAAATATGTACAACAATGAAGTTTTGTCTTCTATTCCTGTCACAAATATCACAATAGAAATTTAAACAACTTTACAAAATTAAAAATAAATTAAAGCTAAGTACCTAAGAAGATTATAGTTCTGTGTGTGCCATGTGCATATGTTTTGCTGCAAGATCAGGAGCATGTAGGAACACACCTTCCATAGTTTGCCAATGAACTGCCCCTGTGGATGACCTAACCCCCACAACTTCCATTTGACCATTAATGGGCCGCCCAAATGTCTTCCCAGACGCTGATAAATACATATCAGTGTCTACATGTTTAAGCATGACACTGTCATCTCTTTGCCAATTATCACCTTAAATTTTGTTTAATCAGTTTTTTAATTCAGCGGTCTTGGAGATTCATACCAGAACAGATGACGACCCAATGATCCCCAGTATCCCCCTCGCCGTTATCCCCATAACAACTAATTTCCTGGTAGCCACTCAAAGGACTAGAGAAATGATGAGAATGTAAATTCTTTTTTGTTTCTAAATGCTCCAGTCTAATTGTTGAGCCGCATTTAATTGGCTCCCCTCTGGGACATACTTTACCCGACTCGGCTTTAATTACCCAGTGACTATTGATGTCTTCTTGGACTTCAGTTGCGGTGACCGATTGCTGGCCACTACCAGTGCCGTATTTCACATCGTGGGAATGTAGCCGTACTTTATGATCTGTGTTCATTAATTTCACTACAGAGCCACATGTTACATATCTCTGTTTTGCAGCTGGAAAATAATTAAAAGAAAAATTGTAAGAATCGGTTTGAATTTGAGCCAACGTGGTGGTCTCCACCAATCAGAGAGGGCCACAACAGAACACAGAATTTCTAACTAATATTTCAGTCCATTTCATAGCAAACAATTTACCTGTTACTAGTGCAATATTACTGAGAAAAATAATAATTAATATCACTCCACAGGCTATTTTCCGCAATATTTTCATCGTTCCGGGAAATTTGACAAACGACACTGACACTAGTGACTTTTCAATTGCTACAGTGCTGCCAAGATTGTGTCACCAATTTAATTATAAAAAATGATCACTAATAAGAGGGGAAAGAACGATAAATAATTGTTCTCGTAGAGATAAGATAAGAACGAAATACATTTTTATTATCTTGTTACTCATACGTGCACATAATACTGTGTTTTTAGACGAAAATACGAAAATTGTGAGTGTAAATATTAATACCAACCATTAACCAAAAATTCCCATTGAAGCGACGTTTTTGTAAAATTCAGTTCGGCCTGTCATCTGTAATTAAAATGATGATACTTTTGAGTGTTCGCAGTGCAAACTCTTGATTTTAATGCGATGTTCTTATTGTCACGTTGTAAATAATTTGTAGTGATTTTACGTTAACCTCTGCTTATTAAATTCTAGTCAATTAAAAATGCGCTTCTAATTCTAATGCGACTCTTTTTGTACAGTTTTAAATTAGTGTAGGTAAAGGAAAAAAATCCATATCATTTATAAATGCTATCAAACACATTGAAATTAAAATTAAGTAAATCGGGTGATGAGTGCCAGTGAGACTGTTCCTATTCTAGCAAACTCTAGTGTGACGGTAAACGAAGTGCACAGTGCCTTGTCAGTTACATGTAGTGATAGTTCAGCAGAAGACGTACCTTTGGTCCCCGAGGTAATTTTTGAACCAGCATTGGATTCCCCAGGCTTAAACAGAGAATCGCAGCCTCTCCTTGGAGGGCTGGATGTCTCTTACAATCAATTTCCAGGTAATATCAAGTTTCATTGTGGTCAGAAATTATCTATGTTATTTTGCAGATGATCCAAATTTCAGCGATCTGGTGTGGCAGGCCGAAGTTGCCATCGATAATGGCATTTTCCCAGAACGAATTTCTCAGGGCTCTAGTGGATCCTATTTTGTTAAAGACCACTCTGGAGTTAGTATATTTTTACAGATTTTAGTTATGATTGCGTATGGACAGCAGGTGGGACAGAAATGTAACCACACATATCAAATATCTTACCTAACCTTGATGAATTGGCTGTACATGTGACCAGTATAATGTTCAAGTTTTGATCCAAAAATAAGGTTTTGTGTGGTTTTTGCAGAAATCTTCTGATATGATACAAAATTCTGGCATTTTATATGTTTTGACATTTTGACAATCACCGAATTTGTAACTTTATTGCACAGTTTTAGTGAAGTTACTATAGAATTGATTTCTAAGAATTTTTGGAAAAATTGTAAATGACCTGTTTCACGTTCAAAGATTCACCATGAGATTACACGAGTTTTTCAGATGTATTTTGGTTATTTTGTTGTTTTTTTAATCGTGACTGCAATTCGTGGAGGAAGAAATAGTCAATTATTTTGTTTTTGTTAATAATGATTAACTAAATTACTTTCTAAACAGGTTATCACAGGATTATTTAAGTTCCTAATAGTTTACAACGTCACACTTTATACAAAATCTGTAAAACAAACTCTTCAACTCATTAACTCTAAAACCAATTTTGCCACAGAGCAATTTTCTTTGAATAAGTAGCTTTTGAGATATGCTCGGTTCTCAGAATTAAGATTTTTGTTATGAAAGCTATGGTGATACATATTTTTAATCAAAAGGTCCGGGATTTCGTTATTTGGTTTTTATTAGAAGAAATTCAATAAAACCTAAACATCTGGTCGTACACTTTACTGCTACAATTATTATTGAGTATGAGTAAAAATTTATTAGTTCGTTAAACGCTTAAGTAATGTTACGTTTTGGCACGTCATTTGTTATTTATCGGTGTGAGTAATGATTAAACAAGAAAAGTAAAAAACTTCAAATGTGATGGACTTTATGATTTTTTAGAAAAGTGATATCGTGAGGTCAACTTGCTTGATTTGTTTTGCTCAATTGTTTGTTTTTCCTTGTATGTTAATTAATAAATACAAGGGACGACATATTGAGCTCATATAAACAGTGGAATTACGGGGAGGCACTATTATTAAGTTTCATTCAGTGCCATTGGTAAATTCCCGACAAATTTACATAATTATTTTGCGAATATAAATTTCACACTCGTATTTAGTACAAATATCTGGTTTGATAATAAAAAGTCACATATTCAAAAACATTGTGAAAGAATCTGTAACATTCGAATGTAGGGCTTAACCTTTAACACTGAATAAATAATTCGTTATCGGAAAACTTTGACTGAGTTACACCGTCTAGACTTGTTTTGGAGTTAAATTAAATTTAGTCTTTATTTATTTATACAGGGTGTAAGGAAAAAATGTGGACAAAGAGTAACCTGAGATTCCTCAGGTTAAAATAAAGCGATTGAACCCAACTTGCATCGTTTAGAAGTTAAGAGGACGCCAAAGTTTTAAAAATTATTTTCGTTTTTCTTTAATAACTTTTTAATGGAATAATCGATTTTTATGAGATTTAGTACAGGCAATTTGATATCAATGTTTTGGTACTTTTTTTGGTATAAAGTACTTACTTATTAACAACTTAACACATTTTAACCCAAAATTTTGTTATACGTAATCCGCGTGGCGTAATTCTTTTTTTTTTATTGGAAAGGTACATTGTTTTACAATTTTTGTATTGGCCTTGGTTTAAGAGTAAAAAATAATTTACGTATACATGTCAAGATTTTGGACGTTGACAGTTTATTATTATTCTTTTTAAAGTTGTTTATTTTTTTATGTATGTTTAGGTTAGTTAACAATAATGTGATTAATAGTTAATTTAAATTAAAAAAAAAATTCATTTGCTTCCTATTACTTTTAAATGATGCAACTTGGTATAGAGGTAAGTTGGGTTAAATTAAATCGCTTTATTTTGACTAGAGAATCTCAGGTTACTCTTTGAAACTTTGTTCCAGGAAGTACCTATTTAAAAATAATGGATGTACAGCTTGGAGCGTTTTTTTATAATTCAGCTCTTATAAGCGTTGCAAAACTAATGAAAATTGTTTGAACTACATTTTTAGATTTCAGTAGCAATTAGTAATCACTAATCAGTGTTAGCTTGACCACATTTGGTATTTACATTACGTTTTGTGACGATTTATTCTGCAAGATAATAAATGAGTATTTAATTATACTTTTTTCATTGATGACTAATAAATAAACTAAATATGATTGTGGCACAATTACTGAATTGAACAAGAGAATTGAATTGTTTACAATAATTGATGCGTGGTTGACATGTTTTTTGTTTTTGTTTGTTTTGATTTATAAAGTAATACATATTACACTGTTTTCAATTTCCATAAAACGAAAAAATACATAATTATGAGAAAAATAAAAATTCATACATAATTGTGGTCGTTGGATTCAGACAGTGGAATTTTAATATATAATAATTTTATTAAGTTAATAGATTTTTCTATTAACCTTAAGAAATTGTTACATTTGATGTACTTTGCAGTTACTTATAAATATAGGCTAATAATTACTGTAAAATCAACATTTTGATCCGTTTCAGAAAATAATCGCTGTTTTCAAGCCGAAAGATGAAGAACCTTACGGCCGTCTGAATCCCAAATGGACGAAGTGGATGCATAAACTGTGCTGTCCTTGTTGTTTCGGTAGATCATGTTTAATTCCAAATCAGGGTTATTTATCAGAAGCTGCAGCTTATTTAGTCGATTCAAAACTTAATCTCAACATTGTACCAAAAACAAGGGTATTACAAGCTTCTTTTAATTAGAGCTACTTTGTTACTATTTTTTGTCGCAGGTCGTCAAATTAGTGTCAGAAACTTTCAATTACCCTAGGATAGACCGTCAAAAAGCGCGAATGAAACGAGCAATTATGGAACAATTTCCTAACGTGGGATTAAGGTTTAACAGGATAGGTCTCCCACCGAAGGTTTTTACATGTTTGAATTCCTTGTTTGAAAAATTAATCGGAATTTTTCAGTGTGGCTCATTCCAATTGTTCGTAGATGGCTACAAGGATGCTGATTATTGGTTAAGGAGATTCGAGGTGGAACCGTTACCTCCGCGAATGGCTCAAAAATTTCAACTTCAGTTCGAGCGTTTAGTTGTTTTAGATTATATAATAAGAAACACGGATCGGGGAAATGATAATTGGCTTATCAAATACGAACATCCTACGATTTCAAACGGAAACGGTCCAGTAGAATTAACTGAAACCACAGAGTGGAATCTAGTTCATTTACCTGAGATTAACATAGCTGCGATAGATAATGGTTTAGCTTTCCCTTACAAGCATCCAGATAGCTGGAGAGCTTATCCATACCATTGGGCATGGTTACCACAAGCTAAAGTTCCGTTCAGTAAAGAAACGAAAGATTTAGTTCTGCCTTTGTTAGCGGATATGAATTTTGTACAGGATTTATGTGATGATTTATATTTACTATTTAAGCAAGATAAAGGCTTTGATAGGAGTCTGTATGAAAGACAAATGTCAGTGATGAGGGGCCAAATTCTTAATCTTACCCAAGCTCTGAAAGATGGAAAATCTCCAGTGCAGCTGGTCCAAATGCCAGCTGTTGTCGTGGAAAGGTCACAAAGCCAACAAACGTCTCGATTTTTCAACTTTACACAACGCTTCCAGGACAAGAGCCCCTTTTTCTCATGGTGTTAACAGATTTGTTTTTATATATTATATATTTTACGAATAGGCCAGATTTTTAATACACTATCATGTAAATGCAGTACTATTTGCTGTTATTTTAACTAGGAATTTTTTTAATCAGATTATTGTTATTTTTCTTATCGGTACGGTTATAAAAAGAAAAACTGATGAAATTATTATTTATTAAACAAAAACAAATGGTACTACAATAAAACGTATATTGATTATCTAACTTTTTAATCCTTTCTGACTTTTTCTGCTCGTGGGTCATCATGACGAATTACAGTGTATTCGACTTTATATCGTCTGTTATCCCCATCTTTAACATTGTAATATAAGTGTAAACTAAAAACCCCCATTCCAAGCCCAATAAGGGCCATTACACCACTGCCCATCACATCAGGAATCTCATGCCATCCTCGTTTCAGTAAACCAATAGATGCTCGACCTGACGCCGACATTGTGCTACAAAAACTAATTATGAATCCCCGAATTTAATTAACTAGGGCCACACATACCTGTTATATAATTTTTGTTGTTTTTAATAATCACAAAATAACCCCCTTATGCAAGTTTTGACAGTTGTTATGTCAAATGTTTGGTGGGTTTTTATTTTTTATGTTGGTATTTGTTTGTCAATTTGACAGATAAACAAATAAGAGGTTATAGTTGAGTTTTCCAGATTTTCTCTAAAAATGGATATTGGTGAATTGTTGGACTACAAAGTAAGTCAACAAATTCTGTAAAAACAATTTTTAATACAAAATTCCGACTGTAGCCCCCGCAAGGTGTTAAACGGCCGGTTGAAAATGAAAACGATGAAATTGAAAAACAGAGAAAAATGCGGCGAATTGCGCGAGATAAAGCGAACCGAATGTCTCGTGCCGCATCCCCAACACCCTCAATACAAACTTTAGACCAAATATCGGAAGAAGAAAGACAAGAGATTTTAAAATTTGTTGAAACTGAACAAACTGAAGTATGACACCAAAATCAAACTCCAGTTGTTTTCAACTTGACTGTGTTGTAGGGAGAAGTCATTGATGAAGCGGCAATTAAAAGAATTGTTCTGAATTTTGAAAAAAGGAGTCTTAAAAACAGGGAAATGAGAATCAAGTTTCCAGACTCTCCTGAAAAGTTTATGGAGAGTGAGCTTGAATTGCACGAGATTTTACAAGAAATGAGGGTTTTATCAACTGCACCTGATTATTATCCCCTGTTGGTGAAGCTACAGGTTATACCAAGCTTATTGGAATTGTTGGCTCATGACAACACTGATGTTGCAGTAAGTAAAAAATCAAATTAAAAAAAATATATGTAGTGAAATATTTTGGTGTTAGGTGGCGACAGTGGAGCTGCTCCAAGAATTAACCGATGTCGACATCCTCCACGAATCTGAAGAAGGCGCTGAAGCCCTGATTGACGCTTTGCTCGACCACCAAGTAATAGCTCTCCTCGTCCAAAACTTGGACCGTTTAGATGAAAAAGTGAAAGAGGAAGCCGACGGTGTCCACAACTCCTTATCAATAATCGAAAACTTGACAGAATTACGCAATGACATTTGCAACGAGGCCACAAAGCAGGGCTTGCTCCAATGGCTCTTGAAGCGACTAAAAGTCAAAGCCCCATTCGACGCGAATAAACTCTACGCCAGCGAATTACTCTCAATCCTGCTGCAAGATAACGAAAAGAACCGAACTGCTTTGGGCGAAATGGATGGAATCGATACTTTATTACAACAGTTGGCGTTCTACAAGCGCCATGACCCCTCCAGTGCCGAAGAACACGAACTTATGGAAAACCTATTCAACTGTTTATGTAGCGCATTGATGATTGTCTCGAATCGAGACCGGTTTCTCAAAGGCGAAGGTTTGCAGTTAATGAATCTGATGCTCAGAGAGAAGAAAACGTCACGGAATGGTTCACTCAAAGTGTTGGATTATGCAATGTCGGGCCCCCATGGCAAAGACAACTGCAACAAATTCGTGGACATTTTGGGTCTACGTACAATTTTCCCGTTATTTATGAAAACGCCGAAGAAAAACAGAAAGAAAGTGTTGTCGACGGAGGAGCACGAAGAGCATGTTACTTCGATTATTGCGTCCATGTTGCGGAATTGTCGCGGGTCACAAAGACAGAGACTCATTAGCAAATTTACGGAAAATGATCACGAGAAAGTCGACAGATTACTAGAGCTGCATTTCAAATATTTGGAAAAAGTGGAAGCCATTGATGAAGTGATGGATGAGGAAAACGGGGTTGAAGATGATGATGCGAGTTATATGAAACGATTAGAAGGAGGACTGTTTACGTTGCAATTGGTGGACTATATTATTGTGGAAGTTTGTGCTGCGGGACCTGCCAGTATTAAACAAAGAGTTATGCAAATTCTCAATCTTAGAGGGGCCTCGTTGAAGACGATAAGACACATTATGCGAGAATATGCCGGGAATTTGGGGGATGAAGGGGATAAGGAATGGAGGGATCAGGAGCAACAACACATTTTACATTTGGTCGATAAGTTTTGATATATTATTGCCATGATTTTAAGTAAAAAATATTTCATTTGATATTGTTGTAATTTCTGCATCAAAATGGTGTGATTAAAAAATAGAATTAACAAATAATGACTTTATTCACAGTCAGTGGATTTTTTAAAGCTAGCAACAAAGACACTACACATAACTCAAGTACATACATTTCTTCCTAAAACTAATAACAACAGTATAGGCGGTATGTTGATTGTATACTTTATATTTTTTATAAATTGTCTTGGCCACCTACAGGTGCGCCAGAACTCGCGCCCCAGAGAAAAATAAGCTAAGATACCACGAACATGGAAAAAATGTTAAAAAAAAATATCTATAAAAATTTCGAAGTTATGAGGGTTTAAAGTTTGCACTTTGACTCTATTTATTTCTGTTGGAAAAATAAATTTCCAAGTTTTTTTATATATTTTTGCTATAGGTTATTAAAAGAGGAAACAAGGAAGCTGTATCCTAAATTGTAACTCTGTTCAATGTTATTTGTAGCTTTTATTGACAAAATTTTTGTCCCTTTACTAAATAATTGTAAAAAAACATATACAAGATCATCAGTATCATTAAATAGATATAAAAAAAAATGTCAAATGTCAAAAAAATAAATGTCAAAATTTTTTGACAGATAGAATTTTTAAACATTTTTTTCATGTTCCTGATATCTTACCTTACTTGAAAATTTTCTCTGGGGCGCGTGTTCTGGCGCACCCTGTATATTCAGATTTATTAAAAAGGTCAATACTGATTTTATCAGGTCTAAAAAGAACTACTATATGGGCCTATTCAGAACAATTTGATTATTAAGTAGGTAAAAATCAATAAATTTTAGAATTAAAGGAAAATATAGGGAAGAGAAAGCCGTCTTGTACAAAAATTAAAGTTTATCTGCAAACAGTAAAATAATAACAATGTGCCGTAGAAAATATACAACATATACTCCAAAAACGTGCACTTTGATAACCAATAATGAATTCCTTTTTTTTTATAAATTTTAGAAGTATTAAAATGAGTCATATTTAAATGAGCACTAGTCCCTTTGGTCCTTTTCTGGAACACTTTAATGAACTGTGTGTTCGCATTTAGTTAGTTAATTTTTAAAATTTTAACATTTATTAATCTCATCTGGCATCACTGCTTCCTAGAAAGATGAATCGCCATATAGAAGAAATTCTGGAGAATTATCCTAATTTTCTGAACGATGAGCATATAATTAACATTTTTAGTAGGTTGATTACACGTGGGAAAATAAAGATGAGAAAAAGCACCTTTTATAAGAATCTTGCCTAAATTTTTTGCAGTAAAAGAAGTCAACTACAGTAGAAGAAGAGATGGGTGCTATTACGTAGTCAAATATAATTTTGATAATGGTGATGACCTACCAACAGGAAATGGGTTAAAACCATTAGATATAACGTTTTAATAGTCAAAAGGCGACTCCTTTTTTAAACTTGAATTCGTGCCTTAAGACTGGTCTTATGAAACTTGTTTTTTAATATAAACCTCTCATTGTGATATTCATGCATTTGTGATACTCATATCACAATGAGAGTCGTTGTACAACTTGTCTTTTAGTAAACTATTAAATTTAGCTATACACGTCAGGACATGGCGTCCTCAGCACTATATGCCTTTCAACTTGTGAAATGTAAAATTTTAATTGTTTAAACTTACCAACAAACATGCAAATTTGTTTATTTAAATTAGTTTTCGGATTGAAGATAACAAGATGTCTTACCGAAACTAGTTTTCTATTTTAATCAAGACAACTTAATTCAATTGGTGGGCTACTTCTAAAATTTATTGATTTTGTACTTAAAAATCAAATTCACAAACAGGCCCATATAATAGTACAATTGTTTTAATTAAAATTAATAAGAAAAAAGAAAGAAAATGAAGAGTCGATTATGGTATCTTTAGTTATATACATATTTTATAGTTATTTTTTGTATAGATACATGAAAAGTATTGCTCTAGTATACTATGTATAACTACTTTTTAATGGCAAATTACACAAAAATAGGTTTTAATACTTTTTTCCACTATGAACACAGTGTCATCAAAAACTTAAAATTGTGCTTTGAAAAGTTTTAATTACTTTCCTTGAAACATTACGAAGACAATCAAATTTCAGGCAAAAGTATAGCCGAGGAAAATTTTTGATAACACTGTAGCTATAACAATATCACAATTTTACCACAAAATACAAACATGATTATTTTAAGTTGTTAAAGAAACATTTGGGTTTTTTACAATTACCAAATGAATTTCTTTGAAAAAACCTCCAGTAAAGAATTACCACAACAACAAAAAATTGGAAGACTTTTCTGGGGGTAAAAATTATTGTTTCTCATCGTAATCAGGTATTCAAAATGTCATTTCAACGTTCTTCACAACATTGGTGAAATCAACTTTGGATGGTGTCAAATAAAAGGCAGGAGCTACTTGGACTCCACAAGGGCACTGACAACCCATAATCCAACTAAAAGAGCCAACTTTGCTGTTGCATTTTGGACAATACAACTTCTCCTGGGTTGTCTGTGTTACATTCATCCAAGCTAGCGGTTCAAGAAAATAAGTTTTTGTACAAACCTCACCCCCACTTTTGTGTGTGATAAGATTGGATTCAGAAGCCAAAACTCTGCGACATTTTTTACATCTATAAACATTGGGCTCTGGCTGCGTTTGAGTCAATCCAGGATCAAATTTGATCAAATCCATGAAATTCTGTGGGAGGATTTTCACTTTCTTCACATGATCAGCGGCGATATTTAGCCTAAATATCTTATACTTCAAATTGTTTGGGTCGATTTTGTAACCCATTTCCCTGTATAAGTGTAGCTGAGACACAAAACCATGATTTGGATACACTATACTTCTTTTTGCTTTGACTTTCTCAAAAGCTTCCTTGTAACTTAATTGGTATTTATTCATAACGTAGGCTATAACAACACTTGCGCTTCTGGATACGCCGAAATAACAATGAACTAAAACAGCCCCTTTGGACACGCCTTCCATAATAAAAGCCACAGCATCGTCAAAGTGACTCAATAAATCTTCTTTAGGTTGATCAGACAGTTGGATGAATTTTGTGGTAATATTTTTTAGCTCCAGAATTTTTCGAGGTAAGGGACAAGTGTCTATTGTCACAATATGGGTTATTTTGTATTTTGCAAGAGTGCCCACATCTTTGGCAGCAGATAATGAACCAAGAAATAAATTTGGTTCTATTTGGTCGATACTTATAGGCGACAAGTTGCAGTCAATTCTGTGTAGTACATCCATTTCGTCATTTAAACCTGAAACGCTCACATAAATAGTTAGATCACAAATAGCCACTAACATACCTTAAACTTCCACAATATGTTAAGGTTAGATTTTAACATTTTAAAGTCTAAATATAGACAATATGCGTCATTTATACTATCGACAAAGTCTCACTTCCTTTCCTTTATCATATATCACAACCCAATCTTGTATTTCCAACAATCGCTTTAGAAAACAAATTTACTGTAAAAATGAAGGTAAAAATACAGATTTATTTCTCTGATTGACATTTGACATTTACAGGTGCGATCGAATTTTACATAGCAACAATTTTACAGTAGTACAGCAAAATGTTTCACGTGCAATGTGCACAATTTTGTTGTTGGTCCATTGTAAAATTTTTAGAAACAGCTTCATTGTTAAGTAAATAAAAAAGAATCACTTCTTTATTCCGTACCACATATTACTTCGTCGTATCTGCAATGGTTGAATTTTAGTTTTGAATAATTTTAATTTTAGTTCAAATGACCAGTCGGCGTCAAAAGTAAACGCTTCAGTGGAGGGGCAAATGTCAAATGTCAAAGAGAAGTAAATAAAACATGGCTCCTAGACGTGTTAAAATAAATAAGTTTGATTATAAGAAATTAAGTGCAAATGATGTGATTTGCCCCATTTGTCGAAGCATTTTAATAAGGCCGATAACTCTTCCCTGTAGTCACGGTTTTTGTTCATCGTGTTTCGAAACCACAACACAGAATTCAAACCATGTTTGTCCCCTGTGTAGGGTGAGGATTGGTTCATGGCTTAGATCGGCTACAAAGTCGAACAAATTAATAAACGAGTCCTTGTGGCAAGCAATCCAAGACTCCTTTCCGTTGCAAGTCAAAAAAAAGTTAAAACAACTTGAAGGTAGGTATACAAAACGAAAAACATAACCTAGTCTTCCAAAGGTGATGTTTCAGGTAAAAGTAAGGAAAGATCGGTCGGTAACAATAAAACTGATGAGAAAGTCTCAAAAGCTGTTAAAGCGCAAACAAATAACAATAAATTTTGTACAAATAAGAAAGCAGAAGTGAAGGAAGTTGATAAATTGGTTTGTGTTCCTTCAACTTCAACTACTAATCTGGGACTCAAAAATAATCAAACCATCCCCATGAAAGATGAAAAGAATGAAAGAGCAACTTTCTTCTTGAATAATTTTGCCACAAAAGAATACACTTGTAGAATTTTGTGTCAAAATGTGAGTTCAAAAGATACACAAAAGAGTGAATCTCAAAATTTAGGCTTGAAGAAAAACAAGAGGATACAAAAAATAACCGAATCAGAACTATCAAATGACAGAAGTAACAGTATTGAATCTGAATGTTTATATTTCAAACCTATTGATTATCGGCATAATCCACCTTCTGAAGGACTAGCCCCCATAAAAGTTCCTACTAGAAAACCAAATATTAATGCTAACGCGAAAATACTGTGAGTATATGTTTATATACAACAAATTTTTATAATAATTGTCATTTTCAGTGCACCTTGTGGCCAAAACCAGATCAATATAAATTCCCTACAATCAGCGTTTGCTCGACTATTCTCTCCTATTCTACCAGAAGAAACTAAACAAATAAAAAATTGCAAAAAAGAAAATATTCAATCACAAATGTCTTCTCAACAAGATGCTTCCCTTCCCACAAAAAGGAAGCATGAGAGAACTGTAAATAAAGCTAAGAAAAAAGTTAAAACAATTCAAAAACCAACAGAAAATCAATCATTGGAATCAAAAGAGAGTCTCACTATTGATTTGACAAAAATGTGTGATTTTGATATTTCGTTAAGCAACTGTATGAAGAAAATCAATCTCAAATCGGGGAAAAATCTAATGACCGAGGAAAGTCTTAAAAGGGCATTACAAGAAGAAGCAGATTTTGAATTGGCCACTAAATTGCAACAAACCTTCAACCAGTCTCTAAAATATTCCACAAGGAGTGCCGTTCTTAAAAGGATGGCTTCGACTAATCAAGTGAAAATGGAAGGAATGACACCATATAAAGTAAAATAAGTTGTTTTTTTATATTTTTTTTGAATAATTGTTTTTGTTTTGAAAAATCTTGTTTATCACGGAAATACAATGTTTAGTTTGTTGCTGTACTTTGGATAGTGATTAAAAATCATTTCATTGTGTATTTTGCAACTTTATAAGGTTTGTATAGTTTTCTAATACGTGATTAATTTTTTCAAATAAAATTTACGTTTAGAAATCTGGCAGTTTGCAGCTAATCTCAGTTTATTTGTAGGTGATAATGCATTTGTGATGATATATTTTTTTAAAATGATATTATTGTTATGATAGTATTAAGCAAAAATCAGTCATTGTTTTAAATGCATTACTTTATTCCTAATTAAGTTTCGCTGTGATAGCAGCTGTTTTATTTTTAATAAAATTAAATCTAAAATAAAATTGGCTTATTAAAGCAAAAACAATACTTTCGTAATAATTTAATCGTAGACGTTTCACGGTCATTTACAGTACATTATTTTCCTTTTCCTGCAGTTTGAGGGTTCTGAAACAAACATAAAATGGTGCAAAATAATCTGACTTAACGACAGCGAAGACACTGAGGCAATGATTTTACCATTAGCAAATTTAAAATAATTTAGGGGGCGTTATTTTCATCGTGATGTCCAAGACAAGCTCCTATTGGACAATGACAAGACTGTGAAGTCGTTTCATGCGTTTTAGAAACGATCAATTGTGCATCAGCTTCAGTTAATTCTTGTGCACTTACAACACTGCTAGCAGTTTCAGTTACCTGTTTTTCCATTTCGCCTCCTGAAACAAGAGATGAGGCTGATTTGGTGACTGTATCCCAAGCTTCAGTCAAACTGGAAGGAAGCTTTGGTAGAGTTGGAAGTTCCAGTGGTGGATCATCCTTTTTAACTTGAAACATACTCTCAACTTGGCTTTTATTTCATACCATTCATACATACCACCATATGCAAAGTTGTACGCAATCACCGCATATTTCCTCGCTTCTGCGATGGCAATTTGCGAATACTCTGACGCCTCTTTGGGGTAGCAGACTGCAGCCATGCCAAGGGCCCCAGTCGCAGTATACAATGTGCGTTTGAAAAACCGCCCTCTCAGTCCGAAAATAAAACCTGTCAAGCCACCAATGGCTATAGCCCCAGCTTTGGGAGTGGTGTTGTCTTCCTGTCTCAAATATTTGAGCAGCCCTGTAATAATCCAATCAAAAATGTTTCAATTTTAAATTGACGAAATTACATTCTGCATTGTCTTTGCTTTGTTCAAGGTAGTCCATACCGACCCTCTGGTACGCTTTAACTTCTTTATAAACATTTGTAACTTGTTCTCTTACTGTAGCAAAACCGTTTTCCAGATAACTTGGAACTGTTGGTTCAGCATCTTTGGGGACTGGTGGAGGGTCTGGGACGTAGATTGGTAAATCACTCGGTCGACATAAATTTCGTTTTTGGGCATCTTGTTGATATTTTTCTTCAGCTACTAATGCTGCCGCCGGTATTAACACTTGCTTTAAAAACTGAAAATTCAATTCAGTCGTATATTTTTTAGTTTTGATATAAACTTACTCTACAGGAATACATTGTTTTGGGTAATTTTGGGCACGAACAAATCACAAAAATCTGTTTTTTTTTTTAATTTTAGGTTTTGTTACATAAATTTGACAGCTGAAGTGACTGTCATATGTTTTTAGTTGTAACTGCGCAGGCGTGCGCACAATTTAATTTAATAATTAGTACAAATTTCTGATTTAATTTTTGTGACGTTTTTCTTACTTTTTTATTCCTGGAATTTATAATTAAAACTTTACGTACAATATTACTTTTAAAGTTTTTTAAATCACGTTGGTTTGCGTCACATCAACATTTGTCAAAATTTCACGAAGACATGTTCAACTAAATTAAAAATTATTCGACCAAGAAATGGTATCATACATTTATGAAGCAATCGGTAACATTTTGGGAGTAGAGAAACCCCCTGAAGAGCTCGGAGATCCCATTGATTTCGAACCGGGACTTCTGCTAGACAGTGGCATATCATGGGTTTATGTATGCAAACCTATAATTTTTTTCAGTTTTTTTATTCCAGTACTGTTTCAGACTTTTAGAAAAATGTTGATTCCGGTAGAAATAAGATCAAACAAATTGTGTCCATCTCATTGCGATTGTGATCGTGCAGGAAAATGTAAAGTGTGATAATAATAAATTCGGCAAGTAATAGAACAAGACTCGTTCTCTAGACTAAACTGTACTTTTTGAATATTTTATCATTAATTAAACATGGTCTGTTTTTTAATTGTTGAATTTCTCGAAAAAAGTGTTTGAGGCCCCGGCGAGATTCGAACTCGCGATCTCCTGTTTACTAGACAGGCGCTTTAACCAACTAAGCCACGGCGCCTTGCATTTCAAATTATTTTCAATGATTTTCACACAATGTTTATTATTTTATCTTAATTGAAATTTTTTAAAAAAATATTTGCAAAAAATTCTCTGTCGTTAAATATTTTACTTAAACATTTCAATTTTCTATTTAGAGTTTCAAAAAGTTTTACATGTTTAGTAAAGAAAGAAAGTTGTTTATTTATTAAATATGTCCACATGTACAATTTATTTATAGCTAATTTAAAATAAACTTTTCAATTACAAGCCACTTATTTTATCTAATTCTAAAATCAAGCAGATTTATTAATTAAAATTTTAATAAAATGTCTAAAAATATTTGTCAAAAATTCTCTGTTGTTAAATATTCCGGGAATAATAATATTTCAACTTTCTACTTAGAGTTTTAAGAAATTTTACTTATTTAGTAAAAGGAAAAAAAAAGTTTATTGTTTATTTATTAAATATGGTGGTTACATCTACAATTTATTAATAAGCTAAATATAAATAAACATTTCAACTACAATAAGCCACTTATGTTACCTAATTCTAGAGTTAAGGGGATTTACAATTTTGCCCATCATCAGTGTAACGTCGATTTCTGAATCCATGACGAAGTAAAGAAACGGATGATCGGCTCGAAACAGCACCGGATTATTTCGTTGCAGATATCCTAAAACAAAAATGTTTTTTTTTGCATATTTCCTCTCAAAGAACCAGGCCAAAACCATCATTTTAGCACCACACGAAATGTCCCTCATAATTTCCCAACGTGACATTTTGTAATTCGACAAGCTTAGTTAGTGTTTAAGCTAAACAATATCTGTAATTATCAAACAATTATTGTGTGAATGTACCGCGACATTTCATCTATTTAAACGTTTTGTTGCATCATTTGAATACCTTTTTTTTGTCTAAGCCTGATTGCGTGAAACAATTTCGCAGAGAGAGCAGTTTTGAGATAAACGATAATGATAATAATTATTTTCTCTTGTACTTACGATTATTATTATTCATCATAATTGGATCCATGTAATTTCGAATGTTCACAGTTATGGCTTGTTCGATGTTTGTTACATAAATGTTTCGGTCGGGGGTCATTTGGGAAAAATCGGCCTGTCGCGGCTCGAACACTTGTCGAATACCCATCTGAAAAATAGAAGTATAATAATTTATCATTGTTAACACATTTACATTAAAAAACGTTATGGTTTTGGGTTTTCTTTAGCTGTTATTAATCATAATAATTATAAACATTTGCTAATCTCACCGATCAGAACCTTGGCTCTGAAAGTTGGTGCAAAAATTTTAGCCACGTAAAAATGAACCAAATTTTTCGCCACAGAGTTCAATTAAACCTTACCTTTTGTAATGTCGGTGTCAAAACAACGAATCCTTTCAACATGAAACTGGGTATAATTGCTTTCACATGAGTGTAGCTTAAATTATTTATTATATATTTTAAGTTACCATTCAGTCTTAAATCACAAATCAGTTTATTAATATTTTGTGGATTTTCCGGGAGAAGTAACAGTAGATAATATCTCGCACTGTCTAAAGGAAATCGAAGAGCTAAAGTCTTCAAATGTGGGATATAATGAAACGGTAAAACCGTATCGTAGGTCATGTAATTAATATTGCCTTCTTTATACATCCCGTTAATTAAAAAATACAAATCATTTTCTGAATTGTATGGTGGAGGTCTTTGTGTAATAGTATGGTCGTCATAATATCTCGCTATGATATAATCTACAACAGACCTTGTAGTTCGATGTAAAGTGTCATTAGTTTCGTTTTCATCTAGATATTCAGTGGTTTCATCTTGGATTTCATTGGTTGAACTATCAGTGGAACTATTTTCAGTTTCTTCATCTGTTGTAGTAATTGTATCAAAATCTTCCTCTGTAGTTTCCGTGGTCACTTCTTCTGTTACAGTAGTTGTTTCAGTAGATGTTAGTTTTACTGTTGATGCTTTTTCTGTTTCATCGCTTAATTTAAATTCAGTTACAGTAGTTGTTTCAGTAGATGTTGGTCTTACCGTTGTTACTTTTTCTGTTTCATCGCTTAATTTAAATTCAGTTACAGTAGTTGTTGGTTTTACAGTTGTTACTTTTTCTGTTTCTTCGTTCATTTTATATTCAGTAGTTGGTTCAACCGTTGTCGTTACTTGTTGTGTTGTTGTAACTACATTTGATGTAAAAACTTGCGTGGTTGGTGCTGTTGTAGTAGTAACAGTGGAAGTGGGGATAAATTGTGTCGCAGTTACAGCAGTTGTAGTTGGTGTAACAGTTGTGGTTATTGTCATCTCTGTTGTAGTTGCTTCTGATCTAGTGATTCTATCATTCTGAGTCGTCATTTCTTCTTTTGGAACCATATTTTCAGTGATAGATACAATTTGTGTTGTTGTTGAAATACTTTCTGTGGTAACAGTCGGCATATTTGTTGCACTTGTGGTAACTTCTTCAGTTGTTGCGACAGTGGTGGTGAATAGATCTCCAAACACCGCATTATTAAAACTGTTGATGTCAAATCCGTAGAATTTTAAAATATCTTCATATTCCCGATTCAGAGTTACGTTGTCGTGACTTAAAGTGAGTCCAGAGAGGAAGCCTTCTTCCGGAATAAAGTAACTCTGAAAATTTGGAATTATAAACAAATATAGAGGTTGAGATACAAAGTTTTGTTACTCTGAGATGTCTGTGAATATCTCGCAACCCAATTCGAATAACGGAAAGGTCAGAAGGAATATTCGCAGCTTGTTGTATTTCATAAGCTGCATTTCCTCGAAGCCCTTCTTTGAGGGCAACCAAAACACTCACAGCACCATATGGTGAAATTGCAATGTTGTTATCGTTACCTTCATTATGTATCTGGAAAAAACCAGATTGATAGCGGGGTGGTTCATAAATAATAATACTGGAAAGATCAAAGATTCAATGAAGGCAAATCTAATTTGCTGACTCACACAAATTACTACTTATTTAAATAAGATGATTGCTACTGTAAATACATAGTTGAGGTATTAAATAAATAGTGAGTATAATTTAAAGGTCAATGGCAGATTTAAACTTAAAAAAAAGAAGAAATATAACTGTCTACCTCTGATTTCGGGACTTCGTGTTGTCGTTTTTATGTTTGTGTCATTATCTACTGATTATCAAATTCCGAAAATACTTGTCTGACGGGATTATTTTATTCATTGTGACGACATACGACGGGAAAGGAAGAGATTAATGATGCTAATTCGTGTATTTTAAAACTGGTTATTTAATAAATACAATAAAACTGAAATTAGTTTATTTGGTTAGCAAAAAACTCACAGAAATTGTTAATTAGGTTTGAAAATTGTATTATTAGACTTGTTCAACACTAGGCTAATTTATCTGTCAATTTCGAAGTGATTACCATATCCGTTTATTAAGAGTTCTAGTGGATATAAATAGGTGTAATAATAATTATTCTTGCAGTAACTCCAACTAAAAATTGATTATAAAGCCTATTAATAAACCGTGTTATAAAATACAGGAAAGACAAGCAGGAACATTATGACACGGAGAAGTTGCATTTTGTTTGGCAAGGAAAAGTTTTCTAACATCCTCACTGATGGTGTAAAATGATAAAAATATATTGTTTAACACTGACATTGCATGTTATACTAAACTAATTTGTCTTAATTAAAAAAATATCTAATAATTGTTAAAGAAATAAACAAGAAAACAAAGTTTTTTATATTAAAATAAAGCAATACGTATAAAATTCTTTATTTTTAAATGTAAATGAGCTGGTATTAGTCTACCGTGTAGAAGTTTCCGGCAAAAGAATAAGATATTATTAAAAAAAAAGTGTGTTAATTTTAGTCAGCTTTTCTACAAATAATCGGCGACAAATTGCACCAATAAAACGCATGTAAGCAATCAATAGTTTAACACAAAAGTTTGTACCTTTTTGTCACAATGTTATTGGTGTGAATAGCAAAACAACAATGCGACAATGTTGGAGAATAAATTTAATTTATTACTGCTATTAAAATCATAAAAGAATTTTAATAAAAATGAAAGGTACGCATAATACCATGTTTATAATTTAATTTAGTAATAGTAAAAAAATTGTAAGAACGTCAGATTTTTTTGTTTGAATATTTATTTACTAATTGCTTTGAAGTTAAAAAGCTGTATCTTTTACTTGCCGCTAGTAATTTCAACGCCAAGTTGTTGACCACATCGACCATCACGTCTTGTGGGATTTTCTGAAGTCTTCGATCCGAATTCCACGAGTTTTGATATCCATGACACTTGTTAATTATCAACAATAATAAATAGAAACACACTTGCGGGATCATATTATTTCCCGCTTTACAGATAGTTCCTATCGCAAGCGCGATTCAGAATCAACTGCAACATAAACAACAAAATTGCTGCGAGAGACGATAGACTTGTTGGATTTCAGGTGTTATTTTGGAGAGATGCTACAGTGGCGCAGAGGTAATTTAAAAAATTACAGGTATGACTACAGGAGATTGTGAAATTTTAATTGGATATCTCCTGAAACATGGGTGTAATAACCGACTTTAATTTCGTATATTATGTGTTGTGGTTTTAATAAGGCAATGTTGATGATAGGGAGGTCCAGTATGTCTAGCTGTCTAACTTCAAGAAGATTTCAATATGAAAATTTTGGGAAAATGGATTAATTGTATATGTAGTTTATTATGCAGCAAATTATAAAAACCTTGGATAGGATACTTAATAATCAATTTATTTCTATGCACATCTATAGTGCTATAATTGAAAATGGCATTGACTTCAAACAAATGCCACTGACATATTTTTTGATTTGTTCCTAATGATGTTCCTAACTAGTGGTAGACAAAATTAAAATTTTAAAAATAACAAATACAAGCATATAAACACATTGTTCGTGAGTTTTATAATAATAAACTGTGGCAATGTAAAGAAAATAAATAATAATGTTAATTATATACAAAAAAAATACAATAATAATTACAATGTAAAAAATAATAAACAAATTAAATTTGTAGGCAACCAACCTTACAGAAGGACGTACTAGAGTTGTCTGGAGTTGTGTTTTTTTATAAATTACCAAATACTTAACTGACTTTTGCAAAGGTTTTTCAATGTTCTTTATCATCGAGTTTATCATCTTCACGTATCAAAAGTACCATTAAAAGTCCAGTCAAACCCATTTTTGTGATGTTATCTTTGATCTTTGTTGAATCAACATTTCCTTTGAGTCATTGTAAACAAATAAAAAAATACATTTGCACATGTAAAGAAGTTTCAAGAAGGTGTGACTAGTTTTGCATTTCGAGCAGAACGACTCAAGAAATCTCTTTCCGCTTGTCGACATCTTAAAACAACTGGTTGTTAAATTAAATAATTAGCAGCAAGGTCATTGGGGGTTAATGACTGAATTGACGACATGTTCGTCGATCTGAAGACATTGATTGACAGTGCATGGTCAATTACATTGAGCATTAAGACGTTTTAATTAACAATTAGCCAAATGTTACAACTTGATGAATGTAGATTTAAGAAGATTTTTTTGAATATAAAATACCTACACTACAGAACTTTGAGCATTCAGTATTTTTTGTGTTTGAAATTAAATTATATAATAGAGAAGTAAATAAATGGTGGCCTATCCGAAACTACTGATGTATTTTTGTTTGAAATGTTTGAGATTCAAATTGCGCGCGCAAGGAAAACAGCCGTTTTGAGGTGCGCGGGCGACAAATAAAATGGCGAGCGTTTTATTCAGAATTTGCTGTCATTTTTAAATCTGCAAAAATCAAGCTGTATAAATGGCGTAATCCGCGAATCTTGTACATTTTGTAAATTGTAAATAGTTTCTTGTATAGTTAGTGGTAATATTTTGTGTTGTGAAGCCGATTCTAGTGTATAAATCTCAATCGAAAATAGTGTTTGTGTCTCCTAAGAAAATCTTTAACAAAGCCGACGCCGACTCGTAGAACATTAAAAATTTCAGAAAATACACTTTGTTGAAGCACACGGCATTCATCAATTAACAACAGGTACTTTCATTAATGTAATTAATAATGTTTTATTTAATTTTCGCATAGTTTCAATTGATTTTCTTTGTGTTTGTTGATGTCAACGCCATTTGTTTGTTACCGGGGAATCTGAAATGTCATTTGGTAAACAACTGTCATAACTTCCACTCCCATCGGACCCTAATAAAAATGACTTGCCTAAAATGAAATTAATTAACGACTCCTACAATACTCCTTTAACAATTCAGCCAGAATTTCGCCTCGAATAAGATCAACATGCAATTGGCTTTGACAGCTAAACGACGCAGTGTCTCTAAATAATTAAACACATAAATTATTATGGTCTACATAATCCCAAGTAAATATTATGATTCAGCCTTTACACCTTAATCAATATTCAAATTACTATCTTTCACGTTGTTGTGCCTCCACCCAACTTATCATTTGATAAACCTTTAATTAGTGTTTTTAATTAAAGGTGACAACGAAGCGGGGGCTTTACTAGTCTAATCATGTTTTAATCTTGTAGTGACACCAATGAAGTGGTTGGGGAGCGGTGAAGGAGATGCAATTGTAAAAGCTGAAATGGACAGAGGGCCCCAGCGCACTCAAGATGATGCTGCAGTTGGTTATGTTTTCCAAAGACAACCAGATCCAGAATTTCCATCATTCGGACCAAAGCAGCTGCGTTGGGCTCTTGGAGACGACAGTATTATTGATGTTAGTGTCTTTACACCTTTTGGAAAAGTGGCGCGTTTGTTATTAGTTCTACAATCATTAAGGTGTGCTGCATTTGCATAACAAAAAAGCACCAGAACATTAGAACATGCGTGTGCATTTATTCATTCAGATATTAAACAGAGAATGTATGCAGTGCAGTCATGTTGTTTGTTTTTATTCACATTTTTGTAATAGAATAATTCACTACAAAAGTTTTGGTGGGTGTTGAGATTCTGAACATTTAAAATATTTAAGTTTTTTGTAATTATTTATTGAAAAATATTAAAGACAGTCAATGAGAACACCTGCCAAAATTGAATGACGTCAAGCAGGTAATCAATACACAACTTTGTTTTTAAGGAAACAACACTTTTACCTTATTTTTAACTTTTTGAAATCTATAATCGCATTAACGATTAAATTTTTATATATTAATTTTTAATATTAAATGTAGCTCAAAGTTTCAATTAATAGTGTTTTTGCTATATTGTTTTTTTTTATACACATAGGTTATTTTGATAATCTTTTATTACAATTATTAATAATGTGTTATTTAGATACAATTAGATTTTTTAATCTGCAAATTTAAACAGCTTTTTTTTCATAGTTTATATTCGTTGAAAAATTGTAGCAGTTTATTTTTGATGGATTAACATATTTTTAGATTATTAATTTGAGTTACTTTTTGTAGAATCATGACAAGTGGAAATACCCAGTCAATAGCAAAGTTGGAACTCCTCCCAACAGTATGTCATACATTGGAGCAAGTTCAACGATGCCTGGCCTTTATGATTTAGGGCAAAATAAGTCAATTCCTTCTGAACATTTGGTCTATATGTCCAATCAAATTCCAGGAGGGATGCACATGCATCCGCAGTATTTGCAACAACCTCTCACGCCACAAATGCAGATGCGGCAAGGGCCGGTAAGTTCATAGTTTTAAACTATAAGTTGTTGAAATGACTGAAATTGGAATTAAAAAAAGAAATGTATAAGAAACACATATTTTTAATTTTCTAATATTTAGCTTAAATTAAAAAACTAAATTTGAGAAACGTTTGAAAAGATTGTTTATTACCAATAAAAAATAATAAATTATTGTTAAATATTTTATTAATTGTGTAAGAAATCGTTTTGGTACAAATACACAGTTTTGTTAAATGAGAAAGTTTTTTGCTCCTAAAGATGACAAAAAAGACGATAAGGAAATTGAGTAGTATGACAGAGAGCAGACGTAAGGATAACCAACTTTATTTGTTAGTCAACCAGACTGAGTCGGCTGTATATATCGAGTAAGTTTGACATTGAGCAATCTTTTGTTTATCTCTTGTGTGATAAGCAAACGTCAGAAGACACATCGGTTTACAGATTGGCAACACTGATCTTCCTCAACAATATTTATAGTTGAACTAAAAATTTCAAACTATAGATAAAAAGTGTAGAGTACATAATTTGTTAGCTGTTTATGAAGAAAACGTACTGATAAGAAAAAATTAATCAACTCATCATCGTCTTGAAATATTTATGTGCTTTATATGCATATTGAGTTTGAATGAAATTAATTTAATTGTGTTGTAACCTTGCGCCTTGACTTACTGGCCCGTTTAATTCTTGCCAAATGTCTAGTTTGGCTTACTGTGATGAGCTGTGGTATTTTTTTAGGTATATGCGTTTTTTTTTTAATCTGCTTTGAATTTATTTCAAACTCATAATATAGAACTGTGTACTCTGTACCTGAACGAAAGCTTTTTCAATGAAAAATACACTGCGACAATGGGAAGTACGTTAGTACTGCATATTTGATTGAAATTTATTTTTAAATTTAGCGGAAAAGCGGATATTGTATAACAAGTTGATAGTTCTTTGAAAAGTTGAGCATATTAATGAAGCGAATTAAGATTTGTTGATACGAATCAAAAGTTTTTATCACTGTATAAGTTGCGTATTTATTATAATATCGTAAGGCCAAACATGCAATATATTAATACGTCAGTGTTTTAGTGGAAACTGTAAAAATTTTTATTTAAAAAAATGTAATTGGGATTTTTGTGAAAATGAAGCTCAAAATACAATATTATTACAGAAGTGAATCATTGTTTATGCTTGTAAAGAGAATTAGGTTAGGAGTTTTTAGAAATAAAGTCATCAATATTTGATTAATTGTATTTTTGTTTACGTTTACATAAAAGTTTGGTAATTGTGTGTACTACTAATAATGATTTATAGGAACAATAACTTTATGAATATTCGTTTTAAAGTGATTTTTTCTGTTCCATTCTAATACAAGTTTTGCAAAAACAGTTTCGTTAGCAAAAACGAGGATTTTCGCAGGTCACATATTTAAATAATTTTTAAATTTATTTGCAACCATATTCATATTATATACTTACACAACGTGCATTCATAAATAACTACGAGTTGTGGGAACAAAAATTATTTAATTAAAAGTTTATCTACACGTTTTTCTGGTCAAAAATGAATGTTTAGTTTCAGGTGTATTTGAAATTAAAAAATATATATTAATGTCATTAGTTTGAGTGCATTTATGAAAAGATGTAGGTTCTTTTTTTGTCAGATACCTGTATTCATCAAGTGGTAGCGTATAAAAATGACAATAGAAGTACATACTCGTAATATAAATCCTCAATTAACTTTTATATTCTAGAATAAAATGCATACCATTTTTTTACGTTTTATGAGAGGAATAACTTTGTATATGTAATAAACCATACATTTTAAAGGTCATTGTGAGAATCTTTGAGAAATGAATCACTAATTGTTTTTTCGTAAAAAACGTGAAAATAGCTATTTATGTATCTAGTAGCAACATAGGCTTTTAGAGAACGAGGCGGCGAAGGAGATTTTAAAGGCTTAATTTCCTTAAGATCGATTTTGCGGCGTGTTTCGAAGTTATTTTAGAGAACGAATGCAAAATAGTGTATCATTGTGATACGAGTAGTTTATGACACGAGACACGCAGTGGCGAGTGTTACAAATGCACAAGTATCACAATGAGAAATTGTAACATGTGTTTTTATACTATTTTTTTCTGTTGAGTGCTTTTTAAATTGAATTTATTATTATATTCGACAGTTAAAATTAAAAATCACTTGAAAATAGCTCAAATTACATTTGTTTTGATAAAATACATTGATCTACAATTTCTTATTCTTATTTCTTAAAAACGACAGTATGCAGACAGTAGTGGCAAAAGTATTGCGTAAAATGTTGCCAAAAACAGTGTCATTTTGTGACACCGAAATAGAAAATACTTATTTATTCTACGAGTGGATTTTTAAACCACGACTGTAACAAGTGGTTTATCATCCACGAGGTGGAATAAAGCGTCCGATTTACACTCAAACGAGTTGAATACAACATTTTATTCTTTGAATTGGACTCACTGAGGCTTAAACTTGCTTTAAATCTGTTAAAAATAATCTGACGTTTATTGAGAAATGCCAAACAGTTGTCAAAACTTTCTTACACGGGAGAAAAACCGTAAATTTTGAGTGTCGAAGAATAATAGTATACAGGGTGATTCAGATAAGATAATGAGCCTGACGATCTGGCAATGCAACCCAAAAAACAAATTCCATTTACGTCTTGATCTAATTTTAATTACGATTTGCATTTGCAATCCCAGTTATCTCATGTTGCTCTGACAGTCCTTTGACAAGCAATTTATGATTTATAAAAAAAAAACTGTTTGCCTACCTTTAATGTTTCATTCGTTCATACATTTTGTATTGGGTTTACACCGAAAAGACTTCTCTAATTTCTCTATCATTCCCTGAGAACTGAATGGCACTAATGATCGTTCTCTGCACTGATGTCAGACTGACATAAGATGATAACTTTGATTCAACTTACAAATCCTAATTTCATTTGGATCTAAGGCGTAAATGAAATTTGCTTTTTGGGTTGCATCGCCAGATCGTCAGGCTCATTATCTTAACTTAATCGCCCTGTATTAAAGTACAAGTTGCAGAAGGTATATTCAAGCACAAATTTGAAATTCCAAAACGGCTGTACAAAATAAAAATAATTCATATTTTCACATTTGAAAATGAATTGTGAAGAAAGTCCGTCACTAAAATTAAATTACCGCGAACGACTTATTCCAGCACGCAAATGACGTCATTTGGGTGCTGGAATAGACTTATTCTGACACCGAAATGGAAAAAAATATTTTTAATTACTGTTTAAAAGTACAATTGCGAACATTAAATTTTGGTACAGACTTGTCAACAAGAAATTACCACCTAGGATTTGAACTTTTAGGAAAATTACGTTTTTCATGTTGTTTGTAACTAGTGTAAACGATGGGTTAAACGAGGGGCTGAAAAATTGGTGGTGGATTATTACATTTTGGGTAAATTTCTATGACGTTGAGGATGGCGGGAAAACAA